TTTTTTGCTCACCCTAAAATCCACTCCTTCCTTGTAGGTGAAGAGCCTCCAGGAAAACAGACAAGGGAGTGGGCTGCAGGCTGAGTCTGATTTGTGAGATGGGTATCCTTGACTTAAAACGAGGCAAAATGGCTTAGTCCTGCTGTCCTCCAAAGTTATTCCAGTTTCAAGGAATTGGAATGTATGTCTATTTTTGTAAAGGCATTTTATTTATAAATGCTTATCTGCAGAACATTTTCAAAATTATTTATCACTGATGCATTCATAATTTTGAACTATTAAAAAATAATCATTTTTTTTACATGGAATTTTATTTCAAAAAAAACAGTAACTAACTTGGAGCTCTCCTTCCCACCAGCCACCTGGATTCTTCTTTCTGATAAGAATCAACTGACCAGGAGCAAGAGTAAGCTGTTCTGGACCCGTTGCTGTGTAAGAGGCAATAACTTGGGCAATTTCTGTTGAAGTGGGGGGGGAAAAAAAAAAGTTAATTTGGAAAAACCTGTACACATTTTGTACAACATTGCTATTATCACTGGCAGAGTATTTTGTATTTCCTTCTATAAAACTATTACGTATTTATGTAGTTCCATGAAAACATATGGTAATTATAAAACATCAGAAGTTCACAGCGCTCCAGGAAGAAAAGAGATGTGCAGCAGCTCTGTGGGTAGGATATAAAAAATATGTGGAATAGAGAAGAAGCATAATGACCATCATTAGAGCCATATGGCTCTTGAAATCAAGTGTTGTAATACTGTTTTCCAGTAAACTACTGTAGCATTGGTTTGGACAAAGCTCCCTAAAAAGAGGAGATACATTTTGATGACAATATAATAAAGAAGTTGCAGTAACAGAGGTGTAAACTAATGAAGGCTTGCAGAAAATTTCTCACCACCAGACCAGACAAAAAAAATGAACACTTTCAAAATGTAAGAAACAGGATTTATTTTGAAATCTTTATTACATGAACATCAATACAAAACCGGTTCCTTATTTGATCACCTACCAACATGAATCTGACACAGAGTAACCGTGAGCTCACAATTATCTCTCAGTGAAATGAGCCAAAGCAGACAATGCAGTTTACTCCATTTTACAGTGGTTGTGGAAAGACAGATGATAACTTAGTAATCACCAAGTCTGGCAGGGTTAACCCATATTTGGAACCAATTTGAACTGACAGGAGCTTATAAGCAGCTGTAGGCATTTTGAGGTCCTACTGATAACTTTTAAATCAGGTTTACCATGTCATCAAACCACGTTTAGAGTGGTGGAGAATATGTTTAATACTATGATTACGGGGAACCTTCAGTAAACGAAAGATGGTAGAGCTGGGAACTTTTTAGCTTTTGGTAAGCTAATACTTTTAGGCTGTTACATTTAAGTAGTCCCTTTTTAGTCATGAGTTAGGGGCAATCTGTTGGGAATTTTTTTTTTGTTTTAGCCTTCATTCAGTTGTAAAGGGTCTCAGACATCCAAAGCAGCACAAAAGTAGTGTTGTCACTGCTGAAAACTCCTCTTTAGGATCCCCCTACACAGTCATTCATTACTTAAGTATTATTCTTAACAGAATGATCTAGGGGTTGCATTTTTTTGGAGGTATGGGGAATTTGGCTTTTTTTTTAAATTATTTTTTTAAAATGAAAAACGCTTCCTGGAATAGTAAATTCTGACCCTGTGTTTAAGACAAAGGAGGTTTTTATTTGGCAATGCATCAAATAAAATTGGGGACCAACAACAGGCGAATGTGGGCACTGAGTCTGACTGGTCATGATTGTGGTCTAAGACTATCCTAGCACAAGCCCAGAGCAGAGCCAGTAGTACAAGATCACAGAAATGTGGCTCAGCTGCTTCAGTGCAAAGACAGCCGTCTTAATTTAAAACCTCAGCAATTATCTGATCAAAGATCAACACAATGCTTGAGATTTTAGCTTTTATTTGAAAATCTTGATTAAAAAGTATTTGTGTCAGTTATTTTCACATTTGATTACTGTTTGTATATATTTTTCAATCTAGTCTATCTTAAAAAACTGTCACTGGAAAACAGAGCAGAAAAAGGTCACACCTGCCACCAGTTTGTCCCTTTATAAAGCAGCAGAAAGCAATGCGATAGTGAGCATGAGGTAGACTAGCATGACAGCAACAACAGCAAAAGGGACTGAGGCTGAACGGAGTGAGCACACAGACGTGGTCTCCAGCTTTCTCATGGCCAGCCATATTAAGGAAGTAACACAGTGCTGGGCACTTGGCCCTCTCTGTCAACAAGTGCCAAACTTCCTGTGGCCAAGAGAAACAGCGAAGGCGCTCAGTAACAACACATCACCCACAGGCTGGAAAGGAGGGGGCAGTCTGCTGGTAAGGCAGAGTGAGGGAGCAATCATGGAAAAGGCAGTTGTAGGCAGAAGAAACCACAAAGTCAACTCCCTTGAAACAGAGGGAGGTTTTGTTGCAAGGAAGCAACAACAAAGTGATTTGAAGACCACCAGGAAAACCATCAGATGGTTTACCTAAAATTTAGAAGAAAAGGATGATTAGGAAACTTGAAAATGGTTAGAGAAGCATTCAAGATGTAAACGAACAACATAAGGAGGATGAAGAAGCAGAGAGATGATAAGCAATCTGAGGTCACTGCAAACAATGACACATGCAGAATTAAATTACTGCAGAACCTCCCTCATTATAACTCAAAGAGGGGAGAGGCAGGCATACAGAGGTAAAACCTAACAGGTGATGAAAAAGCCAGTAGCTGAGAGTTAGAAAGATGCTTTAAACCTGGATCTGGAACTTGGCACACAGCGTGAAAGCAGAAGATAGAAGAACAAATTTCTAAGTAAAATATAGCAGGTGATGATAGGAGAGCAGAAAGGTTTATATAGAGAAAAGCCATCAGCAGCACAGTCTGTCCTGTATGAAGGCAAAGCAAGCAAGCTGTATGGCAGGAAACATGGCTATACTGCTAGAAAGCCTGAAGCTCCCTGCATTTGCAGGTTTTTCCACAGAATCACATTAATTCTTCCACTCTAGAGCCATTCTGGAGGCAAAATGAACATAAGCAAACAAATTAACTGTGGGAGTTTGTCTTTTTTTTCTTTTTTTTTAATCAGGCAAAAGCCTTTCTCATTACCATGGTAACTGTAATATTCAGTATATCATACTGAAAGAGCAAAAATATTATATTTTGCATGTCTCTCAGAGCGAGCATTTTCTAATTTTTATCTACAAAAAGGTAATTTACAAGGCTCCAGGTATCAGACATCCTCTTTCACCAACCAGCAGCGTAAAGAATTTTTACTGTGGACTGTGTGTTAAAGAAGTTACAAAATGAATTACAAGTTTAACATTCAGCTCTTGCATGTCACAGAGAAACAGAAAGTTAGAGAAAACAACTCAGCAAAAAAGTTAAAAAAAACATAAATAGCTTTCCTTCCATGAAGGACTTTTTAATTTCAATTTATTTAAGTACTGAATTACTGAGAAGAGATCCAGTTAAATTACAGTCCAGGCTAAAAAATGTGTCCTCTACTAAAACAGGTATATTTAGAAAAAGAAATAAATGCCTTCTCACAGATAGAATTGTCCTCATATTGTTCCTTAAATTTGCAGAGAGCAGTTTCTCTTCCCTTGCCCTTCAACACACACTGTTACCAACTCCCACCCACTCGTCCTGCTGCTTCTAGAATAAACAGGAATATTTCACCTCATTTATTAGCATTTTACTTATATTGGCTGAGCAGATGCAGCTCATTTTTAGCAAAAACATCCATGAATCTCCTTGATGAAAAATAGGCAGGATTGTTCCCAAACTGTTCTTAAACTTCAGAAGATTCTGAACACAGCTTTTGTCAACATCTCCCCAGTCTCCACTGAAAGTTTGAATCTAGGAGACCAGCAATCATAAGGCTGATACTCTAGGCTGAAGTCTTGCCATCCACCATCCTCCCATACATGAAAACAGCAGCAGCCAGCCCTATCAGCATCTTCTCACTCTTCCTACCAGGTATCACTTCTAGAGGTTTTCTAGATCTCTGTTCTTGTCTGCCTCTCAAGCTTTGCATCTATTAACATTATTATTTTTAATCATGCAAATGAAAGTTAGAAAGGGCAGGAGTAGTTTACTTCCAAGCCCTTCTTTCCATAGATGGATGAGTAAGATTTGACAAGAGCAGCCCATTGCTCATATGTCAAAGTAAAATAAATCAAATGAAGCTGGGGCTGCTGCAATCTGCTCTCCCCTCCTCCTCTTACACACTTACACTGTGAACCAGTTCAGGGAGACAAAGCAAAACTTCCTTCCCACAAAACAAAATACGCGTATGCATATTTGTGTGTATGGAAACAAGGCAAAATTTGGTAGATCGCATCCCTGAAACACCTCACTGTGCAAGTGAACAAGCCTCAGAGAAAGGGACAGAGTAGAAGCATGGAGCACTCCCTATTTAGTTTGGTTCAGCTCAATGCAAGGTCACCTCTTTGGTACAAAAGCAAATACACTGAAAAGAAGAGGTCTCTTCTGGAAAGTTTACAAATGCCTGTCAGTGTCAGAGAATGCACTTTTCTAATAATCTTTGGAAATACAATGGCTGCTGGAAGGACAGCCCCCACCACCCCAAGAGCCAGAGGACCCCTTTCTAAACAAAAATGAACCTGCAACATGATCTTTTGCAATATGACCAGACTTGAGAGGCAATGATCTACATAGCTGGTATGTGCTCTTGAAAATGAGAAGGCACAAGAACTCACAGAGTCCACGTATACCATATTGTGTAGCATTCTGGGGAAAATGCTGTAAAGTCACAGGGTGAGAATGCGTACTTCCATTTCCAGAGGCATTGGCAAACTTGGGCTTTTTGTAGGCTTCCACTCTTCTGTTTAGCAATCTATCATGAAATTTACATTCATTTTTAAGCAGGCAGATTTTTATTCTCTAGCTACATGCTATTTAGTGATTGATAATGTGAGATAGGATGATTGACAGATTATGCATTCTTTTTATTATAAACAACTGTTTTCATCAGTGCAAATTACTATAAAATGACCAAGAGCAAACATAATTTATTTTCATGGAGAAGATTTTGTTGCCACTGAATTTAATTTCTTAAGAACAGTTATAAGGTGCTGTCACAATACATGACTCACCAGGTTTCTTCCCTAAGCTTCCCGTTTTTCCAGCTGCTCCAGGAGCCTTGAAATAGAAAGTAAGATGTAAGTTTAAAACTCATATTTTATTTCTCTAGTATATGATAATTATTCACTATGCTTCACTTTAACACACTAAACACAGATATAAGTAAAAAACTCTCAGAGGAAGATTGTATTCTTACAGAAACCCTTAATATATTAGATGGCAATTAATATATAGGAATAAATACAAAGCAGCACATGGAAGTGGATAACTAGCTATACAAACATGTAGACTTCATTCCTGAACTTTTCTTCCTTTCATGGACTGCAAATACCAATGTAATTCCAAATTACACAGCATTTTAATTGCAAATCTATGTATCTACAGAATGTGAATTCTGTCAAATTGAGATAAAACAATGGTAGTTTTCAACTCTACAAATAGTTGGATTGCAAATATGCCTAAAAAACTAACCGGACATAATTATGTCAATACTGTCCATAGGATGGTTCTAAAATTTCTCGTATGGCACATTAGCATAGCCAGTGTAGTCACTGCATCTTTAAGGAGAGTCACCTGAACTTTGAAGATCATACATGTTGCCACAGTAAAAATCCCACCACCACTTTTGTGCCCAAGTGAGAGCATAGGACACTGAACAGGACAGTGCTGTAGCTATTTCCTCTGAGTCTAGATGGGGTGAGATGAGGGATGAATATCATCATCATCCAGACTAAGAAATTTGAAAAAAAAAGCCTCTGAACAGCCACAAGAAATCCAGCAACCAGTGAAATTAGTTCAGTTCAGTTATGTATAGGAAAATAGCAACATTGAAAGATTAAATTTAACATGAAAAGCTTTCATAATTTGCAAACTCAAAGTTCTCTTCCTGGAAAAAAAAAAAAAACTTTTCCCTTGAGGCCACAGTTATTTGGGAAGAGTTATCTTGATTTATTTGAATGCACTCCCAAGTCTACTGATATACATGCAATTAGAGTATTCAAAACAGTGTGTGGTCTCAACTTTGCCCCTTGCATGCTTCCCTTCCTAAATCATCTTCCAACCCTTTCAGTCACCACCCCTGCCTAGGACAGCTTCCCCCTGCCCCCTAATTAATTTCATCCATTTCTTCCCAGTACATTACCAGTCTTATCTTCTGCAATAAAAAGGTTTGATATGGATAACGGCAACATAACAAATCTAAACTGTACTTCGGTCAGAGATGTTAGGTAACCATAAATATCCTCTTGCCTTCAAGCAAGGATCACAAAACTTCCTCTCATGTCCCCTCAACTTCTCCTTTAGGATTCTCCTTACAAATTTGGAGCCTACAACAAATGACCTGAAGGTTTTCACAGAATCTTAATTCCTCTATGGAAAAGAACTGTTTCCTCCTCAATATTCTTCATATTAACTTGATGCTTTGAAAACTTGGGGATTCTGGCAGAAACTAATATAAGGAGCAACTAAAAAGCTAGTTAAATGACTTAGAGAAAAGGGCCACTTAAAAATGTGTATTGGTTTTCAATGCCTCTATAAAATAGATTATTAGATAGATCTTCAGTCTGTCTTGAAGATTACATAGCTGCTTTAAGACATCCACATCTTGAATATCTTTCAAACTGAACTGTAGCACCTTCCAACACTGTATTAGTCGAGCCAATCCCATCTAATAACAGCAGAAAACCCAGCAGAGTTGCCATTGCCTACCTCACAAGCTGTAACCGGAAGGTAGGAGTGGGGATGGGAAGAATTTTTTTTTTTTTTTGGCACCAAAGCACCTTATATATATCTATTATACCATGCTTCTCCTTGACATTTTGCAACTTGAATTTTGGGAAGGATTGTTGAAATTGGATGCTTTAAGTTAAATGATACTTGGATACTCCTGTCACAGTGCTGCTTTCCTGTCATTGTAAAAGACTGACTGTAATTACTTTCTACAAAGCCAGCAAATCTTCCTTTCCTCCCTATGTTCCTTTCTTTCTCCTCAGTTCTCCGTGTTTCTCTACAAGCACTGTGACCTATATTAACAAAAAAACTGAAATAGGAAAGCATCACGCAGAGATCAGATACAAAGACTAACTAAGTCCAAGTCTGGGGACAAGGAGAAGACGGTCCAGAGAAAGTGACTTCCAGTCCATCCACAGTCCCAAGTAGGGCAGATTTGGCATGGAACCGAAGGTGACAACTGGCACCGATATGGTAATATCAGGAATTAATTCTGCTTTGGAAAGTGTTTCTGTCACAGAAACACCCTCCCCCCTCCTCAATAAAGAACAAGTGTTTGGACCTTCAGTGAACACTCTCCTTCAAAATATCACTTAGCCAATGTTCATATTTCCAGATTAGGAGCATATGGACAGACAAAACAGGCTGTGACACTGTATCTTTACAGTTAACTGGTAAACAGAGATTATTTTAAGAGAGAAGCTTCAAAATCACTTTAACCAGACTTCGTCTGAATTCTGTTCAAAGATTCTCTGAATGTTTGGTAAAAAAACCAGAAGAAATACATAGAGAAGCTTTGCAGTACTTCAATAAATAGTTAAATTAATAAATAATGCCGTGAAGATGGACTCAACTTCTGGCCCACTGAGTAGATGGAGAAGTATTTTCTATTCCTTTTGTTGAGAGAAACACAGTGGAGAGGACATACCCCATTCTATTTCCCTTTTACACACCTGAGACACTTAACTGCATTTGAGGACTTTTTGTGATAAGTGATAAAGGCTCTTAGAACAGTAGAGCAGAACTTTGTTAATGAGACAAAGCAGTAGACTTGCCAATTATGTTGTACAGTGGGACTCTTAGAATCCAGATTAAATACATTCAGACTGATACTATTCTCAGAACGTTTATGTAAAGTTTAGTAACTAGAGGTGTCTAAAGTTTTGTGTTTCCAAGTCCACTGTATGAGCTCCATACCTTATGCAGAGGTAATTATCACCAGTCTCGAGAAAGGCAGGGTAGAATAAAAACCTGTTACTGATCTGTATCCATCTACCTGAATCTAATGAACACTCTGAGAATGGACCATGAACCAGTGTCATTTATTTGAAGAACAAAGACTTTCACTCTGTTAATAAATTGAAACTTTAAGGAACATGAAATAGTTTAACAACTTGAAGTGAATGGGTAGCCTGGGACTAGGTAGAGAAGACCAAATTCAAAAAGATTTATTCTGATGTATAAACCATTGACATTTTGAGGCTTTCAACCATTTCTACAAACTATGCTTGCTTTTGAAAAATGAGGACTGCCTTACTTTTTCTTCAGGCCTAAGTCAGATCACACTAAATTAATTTACTCTTTTAGTAACATTTTCCACAATCAGCCAGCCGTCCAAGCACAGCGGCACATCTGAAAGTTAACAGACAGCCCCTATTGTGAAATCCTTTGTAAAAAAACTGGCTCTGTGAACAAGCTGAATAGCAGAACACTGTACGTGTAATGGCAATTATCCACTTGGAACAAGAAATATGTCCTGCAGGGCATATGAATCACTTCATGAAAATAAACATCCCGGATATCAAGATCTCCCTGAGCTCTCTGCTTTTTCCTCCCTCTCTCATCAAGATTTTATCTGAATATGTGATTTTCACCAGCAAAAAGGGCAGTTGGAGCACTTTTTGATGAACTGCATTTAGCTACTTCAGCTTCCCAGACAAGTTGAGATCACAGAAACATAAAATTGACCTCTCTGATAAAAATAGTTTTCAGTATTAAATGTCTATTTCTGAATTCTCTACATAGACAATTTGCCAGTATGTGTGCCTGTCTCTCACCAGACAGGAGAAACATCAAGCCCTTAAAGGCACACAAAAGGCAGCTTTGCATATCCGAATGTAAATTCCCAGGTTTTGAGCCTAAACTCTGTTGAGAATATCTTAAGGGAAAACAAAAACAGTTTCTTCACAAAAGTTCAAAATAAACTTAACATGAACTAAAAAAAAACGTAGCTGAGGTTAAGTAATTAATTAGCAAGTTGTACTATCTGCCTATGAAACAGGCCTCACAAGGTTTTAGGAGGCTTACAGTACAAGTTCCCACTCATCAACTACAATCCCAACTTACAGGTATAAGGAGACTTAGGGTACAGTTTCATGATCACAAGCTATTCCACAGGTTAGGCAATTATCCGTACACTTGTTCCTATACCTCCATGGGGCAAGCCACCATCTTTTTGATGTACGTGAAGAATTACTGGCAGGGCTGAACTATAAACCACATCTTGGACTGTAAAAAGGAATGCTTTTCCTAACCAGGTAAATTTGCTGATACAGAACCACAAACACTTCCATTCCCACAACTGAAGGGATGTTGCACTGCTCAGAGAAGAATCAAGCTCCTAGACTTGGGGACAAAGAGTTCAGAATTTCTTGTGCAGACTCTCACTGAGCTCTTTTGTCAGGGTAAACCTATATCCTGCCTAATACCACAAACTACTACTGTACAAAATTTGCTCTAATTGTCTAAAAGACAAGCTAGCCCACTTTGATGGGCTCCACAGTGCTACAGTCACAATGGTTCCACTAACTGAACCATTAAGCACTCCTCTTCTAGTCTAGGACCTGTTCTAACTTTATGTGCTGCTCCACAGTCACTAGAATTGATGCAACTGAAAGGTAGGAATGAGCACAGGCATACCCAAAACCATATACTAAACAAAAGGTAGGATGTTTTGCTTCTAAAATGAAGTATTTAATAAAAAGCCAGCTAAAAATGCAGTTCAAAACCAGCTCAAGCTAATCTAAGCCGATGCTGAGGCAATCTTGCCTCCTTCACTACTCTCCTTCCATACTAATTCTGGTACCGATAATTTTCTAACCCTTGCTGACCTGTTTCAGAGTACCACCTTAGAAGTATGTGTTACTTCTGCTAGACTAGATTTCTGCTCTGCTTAGTGTCCTGAACTGGCTTATTAACAGGTCAGATGAAAGACAGTGGCAGCAGAAGTGTGGCAGGTAGGACCATACCTGTGCTCACTTAGAACAGGTGACATATGATAATTTTGTATCAGAAGTAGTGTGACCAGCAGGACTAGGGAAGTGATTGTGCCCCTGAACTTGGCCCTGATGAGGCTGCACCTCGAATACTGTGTTCAGTTTTGGGCCCCTCACTACAAGAAAGACACTGAGGTGCTGCAGCATGTCCAAAGAAGAACAGTGAAGCTGGTGAAGGGTCTAGAGAACAAATCTGATGAGGAACAGCTGAGGGAACTGGGGTTGTTTAGCCTGAAGAAAAGGAGGCTGAAGGGAGACCTTATCGCTCTTTACAACTACCTGAAAGGAGGTTGTAGCAAGGTGGGTGTTGGTCTCTTCTCCCAGGTAACAAGCGATAGGACAAGAGGAAATGGCCTCAAGTTGCACCAGGGGCCTCAAGTTGCACCAGGGGAGGTTTAGATTGGATATTAGAAAATATTTATTCACTGAAAGGGTTGTCAAGCACTGGAACAGGCTTCCTAGGGAAGTGGTGGAGTCACCATCCCAGAGGTATTTAAAAGACGTGCAGATATTGTGCTTAGGGACACGGTTTAGCGGTGGACTTGACAGAGCTAGGTTAACAGTTGGACTTGATGATCTCAAAGGTCTTTTCCAACCTAAATGATTCTATGAAACTACAGTCTTAATGTGCACAAAAACGTGTACCTCACAAGGGAACAACTAATCAAAACTGGGACAGGACTCCAGTATAAGACTGATTAGTTCTCGAGCTAGTAGTGCTAGGGATTGAAGAAAATTATTATATGATGCAAAATACAGATGAGAAGAGTTTCTAAAATGTTTCTGAAAGCAGTATCACAATACTATTACTCACAAGGACTGCAATACTAAGTATCATTAACTACAAAATTTTTTTAATCCTGTCTCAGAGGATTAAAAAAAGGTTACTGAAATTTCTATCTAGAAATTTATTATATAAAGGCTTCCTACAGCTACATTTTCACTGCAGGTTTTATTCTTCAGCTTTTCCACCAACAGAAATAATTTTAAGGAATTACTTTGCTCAAACTTTGTATTGCAGACACTCTTGCATTGAGCTGTGTCATGTACACACAGAATTTAAGACTTGTAGAAAAAGCCTTAATACTTAGATTTCTAAAAATACTGTAATTTTTACTTACTTGTTTACTTTTAAACCCCCTATTATTCTTAGGGACATAAACAAGAACTCCTTCTCACAAAGAGATTAGTATTGTATTCAACTATGACTCTAAGCTAGTTTCTACTAGTAAATGAATTATCCTCTCAAACCGAGGAGGAACATAAATGAGAAAACATCTTTCTTTAGAATGCCTAAAAAGAAAGAAAAAATATTTAATATGGAGATGTTCTATCAGATTATTCCAGGCCAAAAAAAAAAAAAAATCAGATGAAAAGAAGCCGTATCATTCAGTCAAGAACTTTCAAATAAATACAGTAGTTGGCTAAGTTTTGTTGTGAAATTTGTTCCCCTTGATTGCAAGAAAATGACAATAGGGAAAAAAATAATAGACTGAAATATTAGTCTCCATATCTTTTTTTTTTTTTTTTAAATAATGGCAGTAAGATACAATTCAGTCATTAAAAACTTAGCTGGGAAGCAAAGTAGTCATTGCTATTCTGATTTGTCTTTACAAAACCTCCAAGGTAACTATTAACATATGCAAGATTCATTTTAGTATACGATCCACAAAGTTATATATGACATTATGTTGTAAAATGCAACTATTATTGTTTTCCCTTTCCAATCCCACATTCAGTAAAACTGCAAAACATTTTTTCTTCCTTTATGATTCACTGACTTGCAACTATCACTATAACACCAAATAAAACATACTTCCCCCAGCTCAATTTTATAATATTTCAATATGTCTCTACCTCAGAATCTTTGAGTCTCACATAATTAGATGGGAAAACTCCTGATTTATCACCCAGTGTTCCTGTCCACCAGTCGCCATCTTTCTTTGTCACAAGAATCATATCACCTTGCTGAAAAGTTAGGTCTCCTTGTTCAGAACTCTCATAAGTATACATAGCAATATATTCTGTAAGAGGGAAATAAATACAGAACATGGGAAAACACTTGATAAACTGCTCAATTATCATTTGCAAAACCTAACTAATACAATGTTGTCTATCTGTGGGCTAGATAAAAGACAAATTTATGGAAACCTCAATATTTAATGCATAAAATGATATCTATCAGAACTAAATACAATGTATCAAAAAGCTGCTTTTGGGCAATATTTGTTGGTAAAATAATTTGCTAGTATAATTAAAACATATATAAATGATTAATTTATATCAGAAACTCCTCTGAAAATATGTTTCCCAGTGGTTTGTGTTTTGTGTTGTTGACTAGAATTTTCAGTCCAGGGGATGGAAAGTCTCATTATCCAAGTATCTGTAGATACAGTCTTCATTTTACATATGCTGTTTTGGCTCTCATATACAATGAATTCTTTCATTATTTGAAGCTTTGCATGAAGGGCGCACATCTCATTGCACCTTACGCAATAGATGGCTGGGAAACGTTAAGACAAAGCCTGAATGTATTCTGTTTTGTTAAAACACAGTCAACTACTTAGTATTCAAGTGCAAAAACACCAGAGTACACATGTTGAGAAATGCAATGCATAACTCAATCACAGACTACATGAAAAATTTTTTACACAAATTATTACAAAGAAGAATTTCAGACAATTCAGTAACATTTTTCCGTACAACTTGACACTGAGCATTATCACACTTTATATTGACACAAAACAGATTTCTGAAGATTATATCCTCTGCTTCTAGGACCAGCTCTGGACCTACATCAAGGAAGGCATCACACAGAATGTTAGAGATTGGAAGGGACCTCGAAAGATCATCTAGTCCAATCCCCCTAAGAGCAGTTCACAATATTTCAGGAAGACTTTCATGCATATGTAACAAAAACATTCAAGTATTCCACTGCAGCTGGCAATTGTTCTATTTGCTTGAACACTAAATCTGACCAAAAAGCTTAGCTTGGGGAATTCAGCAAGAATTCAAACCACAATTACTATTCTTAATCAAAGCTAAGACATGGTTTGTCTAACAACTGCAGCTGAAGAATACATACATCTGTTTGTGTGCACATACACACGAACACATATTAAATATCATAATGTATACTATACATGGAATTTTTCTGAAATCCTTCAAATGTAACAGAAATGCTAAAGCCATTCTTTATTACTTCTTAAAAATACAGCTTTGTTCGAAATGTTTTAAGTAGTGCTCCTTTTTAATACACATCCCATTTAATATAAATCCCATGCTTTATAACAAAAAAAAGACTAAGCATTTCTACAATTGTTTCTTCAAACATACAGTGAGCAAGACTAGCTGTACTTCGAAATAACTGATTATCTCAGTTTCCTTGTTACATGGATCTTGACCATTCCCTCCCTTTAATCTCTGTAGTGCTCATACCAGTGGCAAATTAAATACATCAGTAACCAAAGAGACTCTTTCACTTAAAACTGTATGTAGCATTGTAGTTAAAAAAACTTAAGGTGTGCTGTAGAGATTATATACAAATGTTCATTTGTAACCTATATTTAGATTAATTGATTTACTCTGACTGTGATTTAAATTAACCTATCCAACTCTGCACCGAAGCGGGTTAAGAGCGCCCACACAGTCTGTTAACACAGTTCACGTGGACACATTAACCTCCACATGAAGGGTAACAGCTAAGAATGCAAGTCTTTTAAAACCCTTCAGAAACCTGACAATTATTCATCTGTGCCCCATGCTCCATCTTTAAAAATGAGGGCTGGCCTTGACCGTAAGGATCACAACATTCTATAGAACGTTATCAGTTATAACTGACTGTAATTTCTTTAACTAAGAGCTTTAATGAAACGTTGGAAATGAGCTTTGGATGAAACCGAGACATGTATTTGTAATTCCTGACATCATGAAGTACATGTACAGATGTGCTCATTTGGCCCCTCTGCAAAAACTCATTCCAGATTGGGAACTGTTACAAAAATATTTATACAAGAAACAGTAGAAAATACAGATGATATTTTAATGACATGTGAAATTATTTCTGCTATATACACAACATATATATATTCTTACTATAATAATTTTAAATCATTCTAGAGGCAAATTGATTTGCACTTCAATTTTAATAGGCCTGATTTTAAAACATTAAGATCCAATTCTTAATTTAAAACATTAAGATCCTTATTCTGGTAATAAGCAGACTTATTCTATTTAATTACATAGTAAAATACTATCAATGCCATTCAGTTTGAAAGGCTTACCTTCACCTGACATAGTTGCTTTTGTTGCTGGTGATGCTACTCTTTTAAGACTAGCAGGACTTTCCGAGGAACCAGAATCCATGCTGTAGAAGAAAATGATTACTTAAGAAATTAAATATTTTTAGAAAAAATATTATATTTAAAAACTAAAAAAATGCATATACATCCATAAGCAATTCCCTACATTTTAAAAGAAGAGACAGTAAATGTGCAAATTAAAGCTTTTAACATACAATGGGCTAGTCATGGTTACATTTAGGTAACTGCCTTAAATACACAAGTTTCTGCACCTGCTCTTCTCCTTCAGAAAAAGGAAATATCTAAAATCATAATCATTTGTATTACTAACGTTAATGTTGCCTTCACATTACACAGAAATCAGATTTTGATTGTTTCACCCTTCGAGAGTAATGATAAGTGATTAAGTTTTGAAGTATATCCTCTTATTTTGGGGAAAGATAAGCTATGACTTACATTGCTGTAATTCATAAAATCCAACACTAAATTTTTAGTTTCAAGTCACATAAAATTAAAACAATTCATTAAGTTTTAGATCTTTTGTTGATGATGATGCATGACTCAAGGAAAATGGAGGTCAGTTTTCTTATTCCACACACTAATTTCCAGGGCTGGAAGTCAAAAGCCCCCCAGAAGGCAAGTAAAACTATTTTTACAGAGTAGATTCTAAACTTTAAAATTCAAGGGTGGAACTCTTTAATATTTATTTAATATTACAATATAGAAGTAAAGTATGGTAAAAGGAAATAAAATACCTCGTTGACTTCCTAATGGGGCCTGAAATAAGCTTCACATACGATTTAGGAAACCACCCCTTTTGTCCTTGAACCTCTCCAAACCACCACATATCTTGCTGCTCCAAAACTGTGATGATATCATTTTTGTTGAAATTAAGGTGGTTGTCTTTTTTCGCTCTCCAAGGATACAAAGCCTGTGCTTGTAGCCCCTCCACTTTTTCACCCTAATGCAATTTAAAAAAAAAAAAAAAGGAAAAAAAAAAGAGAGAGAGAGTGAAGTCAGTCATGCACCACTAGCTTTTCATAAAGAAAGCAGCTTAAGGAATTATATTCTTATGCTACTTTTATAGCAACAAAATACACAGACTACCCCTCAACTGTGTAAAGCAAAGTAAGCCAATTAAACTTACAAAGTAATACCAGAAACATTTACAGTCTTTCTACATTTCTATCTGTTAACACATAATCAATACAATACAAGATTATCAGAGGTTTTGCTTAACAGTTTTACAATTAAGATACACATGTAATAAATCTTCATGAAGCTATTTTGGCAGGATTTAAAGTAAACTTTATGGAAAATGATTATTTGCTGCCAGTTATTCATTGTGCATTCCAACTTTTTTTTTTGATCCTTGAGGTCTTTTCCAACCTCAATGATTCCAAGATACTAAGATATTTAGCATTTTTCAGAACACATTAGGTTACAAGAACAGTATGTTATTCAGTTGAGGAAAAGAAAATGCCTTAACAGATGGACAGAATTCATCTGATGTGAAGCTTTGCTATTCCACTTAACTACATAATCCACTTTGGAGTGGTTATTGTCATGTGATTCAGGAAAGCCCCAAGGAAGTGCCCTAAAACTGGCATCCTGCCACAACATTAAGACTGGACTGCCAAAATCTAAAAAAGCCAGTACAGAATAGCAGAACAGAAACCGCTTCATGTTAAATTCTGCCACAGATTTTACAAATGGATGTACACTACATGTTCATCACTCCAAACTGAAATAGCTTACCTATCTCAGGGGACTGTTTTAATGCATGATCAATGTTCATACTTTGCTTTCCAAACATTTGTGCTGGGTCAGAACAGTTTTAATGAATATAGGTGCTCACCTGACCCAAGACAGGGGAGGGAGATGATCCTGTAACAGCAGCAGGAGTGAAGGCTGATCGCTGCCGCAGCTGCCCTGCACTGGGAACAGTCAAAGATGGCTGAGCTGCCCAGGCATCCCAGTTATCAGTCTCCAGTTTCTCACTAGCGTTTGTTGGCCATCTGAAAAAAAGAGAACAACGTAATTCCTACTGTTTTCAACTGAATGAAAACACTCATGCAGGAAGATTGTGCAGAAAAAAAATTTCTGCATTCTAGGTTAATTTATTTTAATTGAATATTCTATGAGCATCATAACTCTCAGGAGGAAGTATTGAAATCAAACATAGGCTAACAATAAATTTCTCTTAAAAAGGCAATCTCTAAACACAGTTGCTTGTTCTTGCTAACTCAAGGCCAGCTGTTCCTGTAATTTAGTTTCATTTCTTAGCTGTGCCCCAATACAACAGAAGTTCAAGTAGTACAGTCTACGTTATACACGGTGGAAAGAGGTAACTTAAAAAAAATACCAGTATTCTCTTCAAAACTTGTTTTAAATCCTCACGCATGCACCTCATAGACCTCTCATATCCCTTTTCCTTATACATCACTGTGCTGCTTCTCATTCAAATCCTTACCTTTTTTTATTTTGCTTAAAATTATTTCCTACTGACTTCTTTCAATTCTTTAGAGTTTCGTGGTTCTTTTTTATGTTCTCTTGTCCTTTAAAATGCCTACTAAATCTCATAATCCACATCTCTGCCTCCAAATACCCACTTAAATGAACAAAATCTCCCAAGCTCTAGGAGTGTAAACAAAGCACCTATCTTAAACCTAAGCTTCCTTTGCCTGTTGCTTGTGCTATTAAGTTGGAGTAATCAATGATTTACTCAGAACAATAAAATCCAGTGTGTGCCAGACATCTCCAGGAAGCACAAGATTTAGTCTTACCCTCCCCACTCAGAAAAATGACTGTTTGTGGTAAAACAGAAAAAGAAGTTTAAATAACTGGAAAAGCTACTGTGACCTATTTGATGAAAATTTTGAAATAGAACTTATTATGTAGTTTAATATTGCACTAAGATATTTAGATTTTAACTCATAAATATGTATTACATGATCAAAAGACAAGATAATTACTTATCCAACCCCATTTTATATAGGTTTGACAATACCGTAAAGCATTAAGTTGAGTTAACAAGACACCTAGGGAAGGGTACATGTTCTACTTGCATCAGTCTTATTAATGTTGTGATAAAGAATTAATAAATCATCTTTTAATGTTAACTCTATCATTATCATATTTTGCATAATCCAATTTGGAAACCTTCAATGAGGATTGGTGTCAACTAAGAGAAGGAAGGGGGACACCTTGGGATTTCCACCATGTCACCATCCTCACTTAGGCATGTCTCCTATTTGTGATCTGTCCTGCATTGCTCAGGCAGACATGATGGGACCATGGTTAAAGTGCCACAAGGCTGCAATTTTAACTATTTACTACAGAAAAAATATTTTACTTCAAACAAGCTATTTTTCTTTTGCAATCCTGATACTCTGTGTTAACTGCCACTACAGTCAAATCCATTAAAAAGGACTTGATCCCACTGAAGATGACAATCACTACCCAAACATACGTTGAACTGAAGTCTGCCCAGTTATTGGCAGTTGTAGTACTCTCTGTAGAAGCAGCAGTTCCTGGCAATGTAGTGGTTTCATGCACGGAAACTTTAGGTGCAGCAGCCGCCTCAACTGCTGGCTTTACAGAAGCTGGAACTTCATTTTCAGGTATTTTCTCCGCATAGTTTGCAGGGAACCATCCAGTTTTCCCCTTCAATTCTCCACCAAGCCACCCCGGTTCTCCAGTCTGGCTTTCATCCACCTGTAGATGCATTAAGTTAGAAAGTTAAGAATGTAACATACAAATGGAATTTTAACTTAAAATAATCTCTCCCATCCACAGTAATTAATTTTCTCTAGTTACACAGACATGACATCCTTATTACAAATTCAAGTTCCGCCTAGGTAGAATTTTGTTGTTGTTACTTAGTTTACCTTTGAAGCATTATGTTGACAGCTATTTCTTCTACGGCATATTAATAGGTAAGGGAAACATTTTGCAATAGAACACTGCTTTGCAATACTTATGTTTTCTTTTTTTCTGTGAAGCCAAAATCAAAAGGATTTATTGTTGATGAGTTTAAAAAGTTTTGTTTCAGTCCAAATGCATACGCCAAGCATGGGTTTTTAAAGTCTGTCATAGTACAGCAGACTTGGGAGAAGTGAGTTCTAGAGAAATCCTTTAAATATTGATATTTCTGGTTTAACTAACACAAAATGCAGTTTTTAAACAAGTTTTCCTAGATTTTCTCTTGCAGAAAATACAACAAAAAGCCCCACAGCATATTAAAAACAACACCCACAGAACAATTCAAAACAAATCCATATATTTGCTAATGTATTTACACAAAACAATTCCATGGTAAGTCTTCATACATAAATTTGCAGCCCTCTGTTCTTTCCTCTCGCTCTGATATCTTTGCCAAGCCATAAAAGACAGGATGAAACAGGGCTATCTTTGCAGCTGTATTTTAATTCCTACTTATTGATTATTATAATAATGTTAAGCTAAGATCTTGCAAATTTCACACTTTACAGTTAACTTTTCTTAAACATGTCACAATTTGTTCTCCAAGCTCCACTGACAGACTACTGTCTTAGTCTGCTATTTCAGCAAAAGTAATCATTTTAAATTCTGTGAGCTGCAGCTAACCACATTCAGCAAGAATCACAGAAGAAAAGTAATTCGCTCTTGGTGAATTGATATGGTGACTAAATACCTCAAAGGCAATATTAGTTGCAGCAACTTTTCTGAAGAAAAAAGGCAATAATTGTTTTCAGTAATAATTCTGGTAAATTACTATCTAATCTCTGATAGGTCGAAAGAATCTCAGTTTTCAAGCAAACTCTTACATATGAATAGGGTTTGCACCTTTGACATGTAGATAGCACCTACTTTGTACAACAGCCTGCTCTGCATAGCTGCAGATTCCCCAGCAATGGTTAAGTCAGCAGAAAACCAGGCCAGCAATGAAAAGTCAGATGACCAACTCTACACAGTGGCTGTTTTTTGGAAAGAATTTCTCTCAACTGTTTAGGCCAGTAGCAAACGATATTTCAAAATACATAAGAGTTTCAAACGACAGCGTAACTCAAGAGTTGACTGTGGCAGATAACAGCACAGCAGTCAGAGACGCTTACATTTGTACTTCTAAATCACCTGACACTATTTCCTAAAAATCCATTATCAATGTGAGAGATTTGTTAATAACTGAATGCTTCACGAGCTAAGGAATAAGAAACAGCACCCTTTTCAGTCAAAGGAGTTTTCAGTATATGACATTATACAAAAACAGCATATAGTAGTGTCTCTAGCTAGATGCTTCTACAGCTGGAAACACACCTACGAATTCACTCAATGGATTTTAACAAAATATAACCTGATCAGCTGCTTGTTTGGAGAAAAAAAAATTAGTGCCAAAAAAAATTATTCGTGGCAATGGTGCAAACTAGTCGCTCTAGACTAAAGGTGGGACCATTCTTTTGCCTAGAAGCAACTGAATCAGCAGCAGCAAAGCTTCTGCCTCTGATTGTCCCTGGACTACTCATTTGAGCTGCTGATAGATTGCTTTGCCTTAGGCCAGCTGTTGACTCTCTGACTGCCTCCCATTGTAATTTACCCCTCTTTTGGTGCAAAACAATCCATTATTTCTGCTTTTTGTTGGGTCCATCTTCTGCCTCAGTCCCTATTAACCCAAAGCAAACCCAGAAATAAATGGACTACATGCTTGACCAGTTCAATGTGGTTTTATTGCAGTGCAGAGCAAAATTTCCACTGCAGCACTGAATAGGATTGTTAAAGCAGCAGTATGAGTGATGGAAGGTCACAGCAGAGGGTGAGTCTTGGGAGAGAGAGGGAGAACTGGATTATCAGCACCTGATGCCAAGTTGAATAATCTAAAGACTAATAATAGTCACATAGTTTCTACTCGCATTCAGTTGGTCACACAGGAACTCGAATCACTAACATACAAAAGAATCGGGACTGAAAAGCCAAAAAGCTGTTATGGCGATGTTCTGAAAAGGGCATCCTTGACATGAATCACAGTCATACAGAAACCACTGTGATTTTTTTAGAAATAAATGCTTTGTACAAACAGCAAAAACAAACAAATAAACAAACTACCAAAGGGTTTGCAAAACAGCAGTTTTAATGCCTCTTGAGAAGACAGTTTTAAGTTAAAATACATAAAACAGCCTATTAGGATAATCAAATTTACACTTATTGAATCCAATGAATTTCTTTACCTATACTCATGAAAAGGCACTTTGAAAGATAATTTTAACTCTATAATTACTAAAAATCTGGTTTCTAAGTTATTCATATAAAATATAACTTGCATCTGTTTTTGTCATACAGGACCAGAACATAAAATAAATTCTTTTAAACCTTTTTAAAATTAATTTGTTCTAATATCCTTATAGTTTTACACCCACCACCCCCAAGTCCCTACAACAAACTATCCCAGATTTTTTTTTCCAAAATACAACTAGACTTCAAATGTACACCTGAATAGTGAATTACAGCGTGTGTAGTTTTTTTTTTTTCTGTATTCAAACGTACTTCAGAGCCATGGCTTACAACTACTTATTTCCAGCAACTGAACACAAGTGACAGGAGTAACAGCAACACAACTCTTTAGCAGCAAAAGCTAGAGGTTCAGTTAGTATCTCTGTCAACAGAAGGGCTGGCTTTGCAGTGGCCTCCTCCACCTTGACCTGGCCTGTGTATCACCAGCACTGCATGCACATGAAAAGAGAAGCCCTGTTTTACAGCAGGTATTCACTCTGTATGAAGCCAAACCCTAAATACTCTCACAACAAGTATTTATTCAAAGCTAAACAGAGTACCATCCTTCTGTTTTGTTCAACTATCTATCCATTAAATGACCATTTTAATTCTATTCCACTTGTAGACTTCTGATCTAGAGATTTTGAGACTACTGGAATTACTGTAATAATGTTGAATAAGCTGTTGAATAAGGCCGTATGCTGATTATGCCTGCACAGTATCTAACACAATGAGGCCGTCTATGCATCTAGTACAAGAAACATTCACTCTAACTCTCACAATCAATAACTAACAAAACTGATAAACTATTGTTATGAAATTGGTTTAGACTTTCCATGGAAGCTTCTTTATGAACTTTGTTTAATTTATGTTCTCCTGCTATCAGAGCCACTACAGTTCAGTAATCCAATAATTCACCTGTATTTCACTGAATTATGCTTAAATTTATTTAAATAAGCAGTATTATGTAAAATATTATCAGCAACAACAGAATCCATTAATTTACTTCAAGCTGGAGCCTAACAGCAGCAAATGCCAGGATTTGCTTTGTAAAAGAGCTATCCAAAGAAAAATCATTCCATACGTTGTATACATATATTCATACACGTAATAGAAACTTAACTTCTTGAACAGACAAAGCCCTGAAAGAGGCATGGCTTTCTTGGCTCAGAATATTTGCTCCCAGACAAAAGCTTGGTTAAGTTATAGTTAGGATTATGAATCAATCTATCTCACAGTCAAAGAAATTTGAAGTAGATAGAAAAGTAAGAAGCAGAGAAAGCAGAAATCCAAGTTAAGAGAAAATTTAGTATATGGATTATAAAATTATTGTAATTAAAAAGTGGAAGAATTAAAACCAATACAGCCTACAGCCCACACATTCTCTAAACCATTACGCAAGATACATCAGTGCTAGAGATAACTAAGGTATACTGGAAAGTCAGGCAGAAGAAAGCCCTCCTCAAATTTGCAAATACTTTTCCTTTCAGAATAAACCCTCATCTTTCTCCCTCGTTTTCACCAAGACAAATCTCAAGATTCATGCACAGTGTAAAAGTGCATTACACTGTTGTATAAACTATTTACAAGCTATACATCTATTAAAGCCACAAGTCATTCTGACATAATGAATTCTGCAGTCCCATTTACATCCAGGATTTAGGCCTGGTTCCCACTTGCGCAGTCATTGGGTTTGGGCTTCAGCTGGATTCTCTGCTCACAGCAGTCTCAGTTTGGGTGGTATGACATGATTGCACAAGCCCGCACACACAAGGTCATTTATAGTGTTAAAATGGTAAAGGGCTAAATTTGCCTATGTTAGAACACAGTTATTCTAAGCAATGCTTCTTTTGTTGCACACAGTAAACTCCTGACTGTGTGAGTCAGCTTAACTACAGAGTTGCATTTATGTCATAAATCAGACACACTTTAACATGTAAGCTTGTAAATTACTATTTTCCAAAAGACATAACTGACTCGAACCTCTTAGAGCACAGGACAGGACAAACACTTAAGGACAGAGAAGAGTCTAGGAGTCCAAATGCCCATTATCAAAAGTAAATTCTGGTCCTTTGCACTTAAATTACTTTTGACAATGTTAGCCAGTTTGTTAATTTTATCCTAGATGAATTCAAAAACAAGTAAACTACATGGCAACAAAATCTGCAGTTATGAAAATTAATAAATTGCATAGACTTCCTAGCAGCCATATAGCACACTTACCCATTCCCTTTTAACCTCCATCAGGAAAGCAATGATTTAAAGCAAGGCAGAATTATAACAAATTTCACAGAAGTGTCTCACGTATATTAACTTTTCTAAGAGTAGCCCATTTAAGCAATTACTATAGAGCAGGTGAGAAATCCCACAAGAATCAGACATCAGGTTTAATATTGTCAAAAGTAAGTTAAATAAAGAAAATTGAGAGTAGTTACTCTACTTTTGTAGAGTAAGTTAAAATTAACTCCGAAAGTAACATACAGGAACACTCAGATTACCTTGAAAATCTCTATTCAAAACGTGTGAAGTGCTCTTTAAAATAATATATTTTTGGCAAAAAGATTATTTCTCTGCAAGCCTACCTAATAGTGATCACTCTTCCTCAAGGAAAAAACCAGTTTACTTATATGCTTAGGCTACAATCTATTTCCCAAGAAAGCAAGACAAAGCATTTTTCAACAGGCTGCGGGGATCCATGCACCTGTATCCTCTCTCATTTAACAGCTGACTCACCAATACTATTTCTTGATACAGAACAACAACACATTGCATTGTTATTCAGAGCAGCATTGGGCCTCTTCTGGAGTCCTTCAGTAGTTCTACTAATCCAGGATCCACCCTTTAATTTCCAAAAGCAGATTCTAATATCAAACACTTCAGTGTGATATGTTGAATCAATTAAAAAAAAAAAAAAAACGAACCAAAAAGGCTGAGAGATGAAGGCTCATCTCCCCAGAATACATGCTGTTTAAAAAATAGTTATCACTATAACTTAAGAGAGTCTAAGTGTATTTTTTCCAAAATCCATTCTTACTAAACTGTGCCAAAACACAATAGCTCTTAAATCTATTTTGTTGGGTAGAACACTATATTGAGTATACTTTCCCACAGTGAACAAGGTTATAATTTAATAGTTACACCAGGAATTTTCATTATCAATAGACATATGCATGTCAAGATCATACTAGTAATTTATTAATATACACATTTAATAACTGCAGTCATTAACAACAGAACTGTAATTTTAGAGATAATTAGAGACAAAGGCAGAATTTTGCTTTAAACATGACAGCTATAGGCTGACCATAACCCCATATCTCATCATCTGCTTGAAAAAAATTAATTATCCTGTATGAACACACCTGCAACCAAATTTTTAGGTTTTGAATTTTATCTACTGTATACCCTCCTTAAAATAAATGCAAAATTATCTCACAAAAGTAGATTAAAAAGAAGAACAGAGTAAATTATCACACAAGCAATTCTAAGTTACAGTTGTACTGGATCATTATTTCAAAAAACTGACACCAAAAGAGTGGCATACAAAATTTCCAGTATTACTGAAGAAACATCACCACCATAAAAAGACTATGTTAATGTTTATATGATCATGACAGAAGTTTAGCCACCTTGTACTTTAGCATAATTGTTTCACATAGTATTACACTGGACATTACATTCTCTTAATAAAGGCAAATTAAAAATTTTACACAGCTCTTGTACTGCTCTTATAAAAAGGTAAATTTCTTATAAGAAACATACTTTATTTATCAAAAGCAGTTTTTGATTCCACACATAATAGCCACTCTCTCAATAGAAAATAACAGTAACTTTATTCCCCAAGTACCATGGAGGACAAGAAACCTCTCACTGAGATAACTTCTGTATAGGAACCTTTTCAAACACATTGACTGACACACACAGGTCAGCATACTAAAACTGATAAAATCTGGTCATAGATTATGTTTAAACTTTACACTTAAAATGAAATGTACGAAGCTATCCACTATTATAATAGAGTTACTATGTCAAATCACATAATTTCAGCGTTCACTGAAATTTTTTTCTCATGTCTGTAAAAAAATCTTGCCATATATAATTTCAATCACACAAGTGCAAAAGTTTAAGTAATTTTTTCAAGTAATATCACAATCCCTTCTTACCATGACTATGTCGCCAGGCTGAATAGTGATTTCATCATGGCTTCTTGATTCAAAAGGATACAGTGCTCTATAATACACTATTTTTACATCCTCCTGAGCAGAAATGGTTAGAGGAGCTTTTTCTGGGTAAACAAAAAAAACAGATATGAAGAAGAAAAAAAATCAAAACACATTATTTTTATATATTTGAAAAAGGAGGTGAAAGTGAAGACAAAAATTAACAACCTTTACATTGTCTGTAGAAAGTATATTATCCCCCTTTTATACAAAGAGAAATACAAAAATGAATTATCTAAAATACAACTTTCTTAGTGTTTTTTTTCTAAACACCTTTCTAAAATATTACTATATTTTAACTTCCATGATATATACAACTATTTCATAGAAAGAATCATATACTTATGATGCAACACATGTGACTTCTTCAGTGATTCTGTAGGTTAAATCTAAGCAACCATAGGTCACCTCAAACAGTGACGTTTTTGCATCTATCAATGGTACCCCAAATACTTTTAGAGCTTGCTTGTGCAGCAGCTTCATTTGCAGCCCCACTATAATTACAAGAAAGATGTTTCAAAACACGCTAGTACACATAGATTGTCTGAAAATATGTCACTTACAGATGGTGTTTAAATAAAAAATTACAGGCTAAAGATGCATTATTAGAAAAAGAAGAATACAGAAAAATCTGAGATATAAGCTAAATTGCTCTTGTATAATGCACTTCCTATTTTGCCTATTCCGTCACAAAAGTGCCCTCTGCTACTCTGAACAAATAACACCTAGCAAGAGGACACATTAGATTAAGTCAGTTCTAGATTTGGGCTAAAAGAAGGTAAGTTCCCCTTTATGCAGTCTTTTGATCAAATATTTAAACAAATATTACTTTAGCAATCAGTTCTCTTGTGTATGTATCAAAGCCACTTAAGGGGGAACCATGATCCCCAATATAGGCAACAATGGGGTTATAATGCAAAGAAAAAGCTCTCAGCTGAAACTGATAATGTGTGTAGCAGAAAAAAAGGGGATTAATTCTTAGACTTCAGGACATTTGTTCAGTAAACAACATACACAGGGAAGGGGTAAGAGCAAAACAGGTAATTAAACAATATATTGCTACTACACTAAAAAAATCCCAAGGCATATATTCCACACCAAAATAAGAATTGTAAAGAAAAGTACAGAAATAATTTTTGACATCTTGCATCTTTTGTAAGTTACAACAACTTACAGCTAAGATTCTCTCTTCAGTTGGCACTGTGCCTCTCATCAACTGTGCTTTACACTCTGATAAACACCATACTTTTAGGAAGAAAAGTGAAGCCTAGAGTCTAGAGCTCAATCCATATACTATATACTTTAATAAAACTGTCAATCTAATCTTGAAACATAATATTCTTCTGTATTAAATGCAAAGGCAAAACAAAAAAAAATTGTTCAAGAGGCACGTGGAATAGCATTTCTTGGTTTTTTCCTCCTCTACCTGTGTTTGACCAAGGAGCCTGGACAGCTGGCTTGATTGGCTCTTGATGTGTCTGGAAAAGCTTACTCAGTTTATCTTGCATTTCCTGCTTCCCCTTATCCTCATTTTCCTTCTTCTTCGTTATTTCTTCCCTTTTTTGCTTGTCATCTTCTTGAATTTTTTTTGGCCACTGAAGTTCTTCTGGTTGCACTCGATCAAGCTGCTGTTTATCCCGTTCCTGGATTCGCCTGTTGGACAATTAAGGTGTTTTGTTAAGCCAGTCAAACAAAGGACCATAAAAGTTAGTTGTCCTTGTGTGTGATCTATAGTACAAAGCATATTCTTTATGGCTTTTGCATACCCTGTTAAGAGCTGTTAATTTTATTTTGGTGAGCTATCAACCACTGCACAGCATCTTCTTATACAATGACTCCTAGAGGGCAAAGGAGAAATATTCAGAAAGATTTGCTATGACTCTACATGTATTCTAAATAAAAGAAAGAGATGTGATTCTCAAGCAAGTGAGATAACATTATTTCATGTAACCTACTACTAAATACAGGCCTCCATTACCTTGAGTTGCTTTGTCTTTGCATGTAAAAAAAACAACATTTAATTTTTATTTTAACTCACAGATCAATTCTGTACCTTTAAAATATGATTCCACAGAACTCTAAAAGAGGTACAGACCAACCTGAGCATACAGAAATTATAAACTAGTTATGTTTTGGAGCTGAATGTAAGATACGAAAAAACATTCAACACATTTTTTGACAGAGTTCTTTGGAGATTTGTAAATGCTAAACTTTACCCTCTTTATTGAGGCGCTGATCTCTTCTCCTCTACAATGACATGAAAATAAATACATTACCTGTGTTTTTCTAATTATTGTATGAAACTTTACACAGGTATCTTACAACAGTCTCTTACTCAGCTTGCAATGCTCTGAAAATTACAAGCTTCTAGTATCTTACACTTTCAGTCCCACCTCTTCAACTCAACAACATCTGACTCTCAACTAGGGATTCAACAATATTTGTGTACTGTCTTTTCACAGTTCTCCATAGGATTCATAAATCCTATGCAATTATTTTAAGTGATGAACCATATAGAGAAAAGAAGAAGAGGAAAAAAAATCTCCCTTGGCTGAAGAAACAAAATTCTTGGCACCAAGAACCCAGACACAAGCCCTTCAGTTCCATGTAACTGTAAGGTTGACTTTCAAAATCTCTCCCCAAGTAGTCTAATTCAAGCAATCAAAGTATTCCATTACATCAGCATTGAAAGTTGCCATTTTCACAAATTCCTTTTATTTAATCTAGGCCTGTAGATATCAGCTACAGCTATCACAAGACATTTTCAGTAATGAATTCGTACCATAAAGTTTTCCTTGAAACCCAATAAGCAGGAAATTATACACTTCAAATTTTATCTGCTCTGCACTGCTGTCAGCTCTAAAATGCCAGAAGTCAGGCATACTGATCATACAAATTGGTTCAGCTTATTTTCTCAAAGCCACAAACACCCCTGCATTAAACTTAAACCAGCAAAATCAGAGGGGGAAAAGAAAAAAAAAAAGCAGTAATCAGAAAATATGGCAGTCTTGATCCTCCTGTTGAGGGACAAGAAGTAAAAATATCTGCAAGCCCTGTACAGCACTCTTGCTGAACTAATCAGAAAAATTCTGCAAAAGCTAACAAGTCCTTTCCCTTTGACAGAGGACAAGACAACAGAACAAAATAATAAATATTCTCTGCTAGAACCAATTTGCACCAGTAAAGATGACCATAAAGGACCACTAAAGGACCATAACAGATGCACAGTGTGCTTTATTTTATTCTATGATCTATCCCACTTTCTTCACACTTCAAAAATTGGTGACAAACGCATGACAACAAGCTGGTCATTACAGATTTGGCCTACTATATAGAACATATTTTGTCCAAGGACAACATGAATTCCTGGCCAAAAACTGTGTGGAAAAAAAAAATTCCTTAAGGAGAAAAATCCACTTTCCAAACAGCATGTTGGCACCAGAGGGCAAAAAAATCTCATCTCTATCAATGTAAGTTTTGAGCTGACAAGAATATTTTCTGAGAGATGTCAAGGTAACCAGCATCTGTTTAAGATGGCACCTACTAACTTACAAGCTCCAACACCTCTATGGAAAGAGCTTAAATTAGAGCTGTTTGTTACCTTTGAGCTTCTTTTTGCTTTTCCAGTTCTGTCTTCCTTTCTTGTTCCTTCTGTTTCAACTTCTCAGCTTCCAAGTTCTTCTGCTTCTGTAGTTGCTGTTTGTTATGTATTTCTCTCAGCTCCTAGAGAAAAAAGTAAAATATGTGTAAACATACACAATGTGAATCATAACTAGTGGCTCCACATATTTCATTGTGAAGTAACAAAACTTGTAAATGGTTGGGTATCTCTGGTCAAAACAGACATTTAAGGTAGATTTCAATGGTCCATAAACCACTTACTGTTTTCCTAATTTTATCCATATAACCTGAGCTGTTAAAGGGTTAAAAAACAAGAAAGCCTTTTTTAATGGGACTCTAAGAAGCTGACAAAAGTTTGACAAAGCTTAATCTGAAAAGTCACTTATGTTTTATTTGTTTGCTGATTTGTTGAATTAATTTATTAAATTACATACAAAAACCTGCCTTCTTAGCTGCTCATAATATCAACTGTTTCAGTTAATCAGTTTTATTTTTAAATTAATGGTGATTTACTAAGAATCTTCAGGATTGTTTTATACTCAGGATATTGAATTCCTTAAGCAATGTCTTTGGAATGAATTGTGGCACAGAGAGTATTCATCCATATACAAGTCAATTTTCCTCTAATTAACTGGAAAGACATTGCCTGAAACATTTAGGATATAAAAAATAATAAAACCATCATCTTTTCCTCAAGATTTGTTTTCTGTATTACCATATATTAACACAAATACAAATTTTATCTTGAAACCGTTTGCATAACGTAGAATTTTGCATCTGAATTCCTTTTATCCAAGAAAATAAAAAAGGATAACCTTACCTATGACAACTGAAATATGACAACTGAAATTTTTCATTGAAAACAGGTCACTTCAAAAAATTGACGTTTTAATGAAAATATAGTACGGACAAAAATATGCAGAAAATGTTTGTAGTAGGAAATAGTTTCTAAATCTGTATCTTAATGTCTACTTTTATTAAAACATGTTATGACTTACATCATGCAGGTTTGTTTAGTTCTTGTATCCTTAAAAGCTTTATCTTAATTCATTCATGGATTGAAATAGTTAATCTTGAAAGTATTTGGATAGTTTTTCAGAAATTCACAATCTACAAATTAGCCAGATTAAGACTTCCTGTAACTATCCTCATGCAATGACCAAAATGTAAAAAATCACGTAAGATTAAAAAAAACAAACACCAGAACAAAAAAACCCTAAATATCAAATGATTCAAAGGGCCAAAATGAAAAAAGTTTCAGTAAGTTAATTTCACAACATTATTAGTCACTTCTATAGTTCCATAGAAGTTGAAAGTTAATACTTGTTTATTTACAGGTTGTACTTGCACTGTGTCTAAAAATTTTAGTTAGTGAAGGCAATAAATGCATCAGTGCCGAATGACTGTACACTGTGCAATATCAAATTTTAAGATGTCAAAATAACTATGTTATGAAGAGGAGTAGCACACAACCTTTTAAAGGTATTAAAAACAGTTATGATATATGGATGAAAGTTTAAAAAAAAGTTAAGATGAACCACGTGTCCTACCTCTCAGTCTCACTTCATTAATGATCCTCAATTTTAAATTCAATGAAAATGGAATTCAACATCATTAAAGAGATAATCAGTTCTTATCCAAGTTTCAATCAAAACTCAGCTGAGGCCATGAAACTCACTGAAGATAATTTGGGCAATACCATATTTTATGATAATAATTATTTTCCATAGTCACATTAGAGCTTAGAGATACTGAGGGTCTAGAGTGGATATTACAAACTACTCTTGCAAAATCGCCAGAATTATTCAGGCAGGATATTGCCTTTGGGGAAACTTTTAAACTCTGAATGCACATGGTTATAAACATTGATGCATAGCCTTATTTTGGAATAAGGAAAAGGGTTATTAAAAAAGAAATTACATTAGCAATATTGAACATAATATTTTTTTTAGTAGATGGTCCATAAAGAACAATGAGAAAATACAAGGATCAGGAGATTGCAGTGAACACACTGTTGGTCAACTGCACCTGGAGCTACAGGTGGCCTCTAACCAGACTATAAATTTCTGAAGTGCTAACTAGAGTGAACAGTCATTACCAATAATTGTATGTTATTAATTCAGCTTCTTTAATGTTGTTACACTTGTAATATATTGAGGTACAAATGATTTGACCCTTGTTTTAAATTAACTTATCTGAGGGAATCACAGTCCCCATCTTCTCTACATGATCAGCTGAACCCTTATTTGTATCAAAAAAATATGTAAAAGTGCAAAGGACAAATATACAATGATAGGAACATTAGCAGCAGAGTGATTTACAAGCATTCATCTTAAAGGACATAGATGGGAAAATGGCACAGTTGAAAGCAGTTTTACGCCTGGCCAACAGTATTACGATTTTTTTGTAGATCGCAGAAATACATAAAACCAAGTATCTACAAAGCTCTCAAAGCTTAAAATACTACTGCTGTGAAGCATCAAATACCTTGATTAGTACTGATGATTTTTAACAAGCTGTTTCTCTTTTCTGGGTAAAGAGACTGCTATACAAAGCACAGGTTTCTGATTCCTACGTTTAGTTAGGCTTTAGCACAGGCTTCCACTTAGAAATCCTTTGTTGTCCTACTTGCTCTCGCTTTCCTTCACATTAATGTGCTGTCCTGTCACTTAACTTTGTATGCCAAGAAGCTTAAGATTCTAAATCCTAGCCAATGCTATTGAACAGAGAGCATTGTGATAGCCCTGCATTTCTAATAAGGCAACACTGAATATAACTTGCTGTTATACTTGCAAAATTTTAAGCTATCTAGATGACAGCGCTTTCCAGGTTTGTTTTTTCTTCCCCTTTGTGTCTTTATCCCGGACTCTGGTGTTGGAACAGGAAATATAAATAATCATTGTGCAAAGAAAGAGGAAGTAAAATTCTTGAAGAGTATGAAGGCTATCATAGTTAAAAAAACCCCCAATAAATCTCAAAACCTTTAAGTGAAACAACCCAGATGCAAGTACCTGAGCTTAATTTACAACCCAGATGCAAGTACCTGAGCTTAATTTACTTTAACAAGAAATTGTTAAACTGGAAAGAGCGATACAGTTCATCTACGTTTGCAGAATCAGGAGGAATCTAGCTCTAATTCAGAATATTGCCCCTTCAGAAAAACTTCCTGAATTTGCAAATACATAAGAATAAGTTACAACTTGCAAGACACCTGTGCACCAAACATTATTTACTTCCACTAGATGTCCAACCGTAAGGCTAGCCCAAACTTTATATTTTAATTACAGTTTAGACATGTAAGTTTATCTCACCACTAAATGTATGGTATATGCCACTTTTACTGCCAAAGAGAAAACCAGAGAATTTGTAGTTATGACCCATGCCTCCACATCTGCCTGAAGCAAGCAGATTCTTATAATGAGCACCTATAGTAGGATCACTAACTGATGCATCACACCAGTTAAGTGCTGCTGCCAACTCTGGTCCAAATAATTTAATTATTTTGTTTGCTTATTTTGTCATTTTGCCTATATGCTCAGCTAAGTTAGGCTCTCAAGGGACATTTTCATAATTATTTAAGTTTTCCATAGACACTTTAACATATTATTCCCTCCCAGCTAAGCCAATGTGCTAGTTCTGTATTTTGTGAAGAGACTTTTCTGTGACATACCTGTAACTGTTAAGAAAATCTAACCTAGCTTCTACATCTAGCACTGGATAGAATATTTTTTTTAATTAAAAAAAATGCAATAAATATCCTTCTTTGCATTAACTAGGAAGAAATAAAGACTTGATTGGTACCTCATGCAACAGACAGATGTTCTGTTGCTCTGCCAAGTACCAGTGGGAGGATGAGGGAGAAAGAATCAGCATCTCCCACAGCCTACAGGACACCAGTTGAACAAAATTATAGTAACACTTCAACAATAAACAGAATGAAACATTTGCCAGCTGAATATTCAGCACAGTCCTACACTCATCTTTTACAGACACAAGCAACTTAAAAGTTGTACATTTACAAATCATATATTGTAACTCCAAAGACATAACAATGCTTTGCTTGATTCTGGCGTGCAGGACAAAGCATGTTTTACCTTATAAGCAGAGAGAAATTGTTACCTTTCCATTTAATTCACAAACAGACTAACAAGTATAATTTTGAGATGTTACTATAGCCACATTTAGGTACCCACATAATATTGATTATGAATTAAAATATGAGTTTCATACAGCAGAGTAATATTCACTATATACAGACAAGTCATATTGGTATGAAAACCTTTTGACAGAAAGACAACAGAACTTAGGATACTTCAGGGATTATAATACAAGGTTTCTATCAAATCTTCTTCCCTTGAGACAAACCAGAGCATTTGATCCCAGAGGAAAGAACCCTACAGTTCTGTGCTCACTGAGGCTTTCCCACAGCAATCCTCTCCTAACCCCATTCCCCAGCTCCCAAAGCACCCGCTTTGTCCTTGCCAGAGACAGTTCCTTCTTTCACCCCATATTATAGCTATGGGGGATTTGATAAAGGGAATGTATTGGCATCTCTTTCACACCTTCATTCACAATTACACTGATTTGTAGGAATACTTATCATCAAAGTGTTTTATTTTTTAAATTTCTGAACATCATGTCCAAAATAGGCAATTAACTTAAAATCTTGACATTTCTGACAAAGAAAAGACAAAAATAACTTAACTACGACCTTGCCCAGGTTGCAGTTCAAGGCACACTCCTCATCTAGGCAGTAAGGATTAGATAAAGAATTATAAACTCTTCTCTTTGGTTATATTTTAGTGCTAGCACCTCTTATTAAATACTAACTTAAACACTGCACACTCATCTGTTTATGGTAAAGTGAAGCACATAACTGGAAGAGGTTCATCACTCTGATTGAGATAGTTGTGTACTGCCTGATACAGCATGGAGACCTTTAGAAAGGAGTCTAAGTAGTTGACGCAGCCCAGGAGAACTGCCAGGCACTGCAGCATTGCATCTTCCATTGCCATTGACTGGAAGAAAGAAATGCTCAAATGTAAACAGGCATTCATATGCAAGACTTGTCCAGCGCACACTGACTAGACAGGGACTGACAACATCTGGAACACGACACAAAATGTAAAACATTTTTAAGAACTTGATGCTACTTGTTCACCACTTCTTCCAGGCACCGAGAATAGCTTCTCAGCAAGACTAATGTATTTCAGAAACACTAATTTAGTTGTCTTTTCCTGTGTGATGTAACACTGATAAGCTCTAAACGCTTGATTCTTCTACGATATATTAAATTATTATTTGGTCTTTGGAGACAAGAACCATATTAAGAATTGTTTTAATGCTTTATTTGACAGTGTGTCATGACTGACCCGTGTAAAATTGAAATGTAAATTCATGCTGAATGTAGAAAAAATTTGTAAAGATAAATTATAGTAGAACTATGCATATACAAACAGGAAACATAATATAAAGCCTTCTATTCTACAGAATTATTTTTTAAAGCAGAGAAAATAAATGTCTAGTTACATTTTATTAATATTTGTATCAATTTTAATTATTAGATTTCTAGGCTAAGAATATCAGGAGTTAGACTCCATGAACCATACTCCAGATACAAAAAAGTGGCCTGACCTTCAACCTTGTTACAAACTCAATCATGTACTCTACAGCCAAATACAGCACAATACACAAAACTATTAACTTCTCCAATAAAATACCTTGAATCTGATATAAATGGATATCTATCTGACCAGCTGCAGGCTAAGGTACCTATTTCTTTTCAAAACAAGTATACTTTTACAATGTTGTGGCTTCAGTTTAAAACTAGCATTGCCCTAGAAGTCAAATAATTCTAAATACTAAAGGTTTCCTGAAACCATGTGGTTCTACCTAAAGATACTCAATAAAAATACCTGAAGCTACTTGTTTTGAAATATTAATTACATTCTATACTCCAGAAAGTTTTGTAAAGGGAATCAATTTTACAAACATTTCCAACTCTTGACACATTGACTAGAACCAAAAGTAACTGAAGTACTTGAGCTTCAAAGGACTAATCAGAAGAAGTTTAAATCAGCTGTTTTGGAGGGATAAAAAAAGATCCAGTGGAAAAAAACCTGCTTCATTTACCTCCCTCATCACTCATATCTGCTACGAAGACACAAAGCAAAGATAAGGTAATTTGACACCAATTTTAAGTATTCACTTACTGCAGAACATAAAACCTATAATATGGAGGCAAATGCAGTGCAATCCATTCTATACTGCTACGGTTTTAACAAGTTGACTTGCAACCTAAAACATATATGAGTTTCAAGTAAACCTTATAGTCTGATCAATAAAAAGGTACACTACATACTAATTACATTGTTCATTATATCTTGTACTATCTCAGTATATATTTGTATCAGCTACCACACAGATCAAGTGTAGCCAATTTCAAGAGAATGAATTAGAAATGTAGTTTTGCAAATTTAAGGATATATTCACATAGGAGAGAATGCAACCTATATTCATAGCCAATAACATAACGAATAAATCTCAACAATGATGACAAAAGGTTATAATTAAATGTTGCTGTCAGCTTGACTGTCTCTTAAGCTTTACATCAAAACTAGTTTGGCGTATACCTTGTACTCAGAGAGCAGTAGCTTACATATTCAGTTTTCATTCTGTTTTCTATGAAATTAAACATTTTGACTACGTAAAGATATGTATTACTCCCCCTCACAGCAGGAAATAAGTACAAAATGCTACAAGATGGCTTATACTTAAGAAATATTTAGATATGCTTTTTTTTTTTCCCCTGGGAGTTTGCAAACAGTACCACATCATTCTGCTTCTCATCCAGAAACTAGATGTTTTACACAAGACAAGGCAAGCACCAGTGCCTCTCCATCACTTAGAGAACAAAAGCTGCACAAGACAGTGTCATTTACAGTGTTTCCATCCTAACAGCTACACTATCAAATGTGCATTTTTCATTTAGTATACTGGAGCACGAAGGAAAAGCATATTATCACAGAAAAAAAATCTATCACTTTCAAACCTACAAGATAAATTAGGAACAGCCTTGGTTAAAAATGGAGTTTAAAATGTATTTTTTAAATAAAATGCATTTTTAAAACAAACATTTCTGTATTCCACATCTTTACATATTTTCCCTTTATTTACAAGAAGCATTTATTATGTTTAGAGTTCAGATGTGGTGGAATTTTAGATTTAAATGTGAGTGTTACACAGCTGACTGATAATTTTACAAACTGCTAGGTATTTTAGCACCAAATAAGCCTGCTGTATTTATGCACCCAGTTACTAATAAGTAAACAAAAAGTTCTTTTAATTGGGGAGGTTATACATTTGGAAATTTATAAGCCATTTTCTACCAAATTCAAATGTAACAGTCATCTTTTCAGCAGCAGTTCCCAAAAGTTGACACAAACTGTTGATTGTTTAGGTAAAAGTATCTGAGATTTATTCAAGTTGCTAGACCACTTTGTTTTGAGCAATATTATTACTTAAGACAGAGGTGTGTTCTGCCTTGGTTTAACTTGAACTTCCACTTCACACAACCACTAACAGAACTAAGAGCCTCAGGAAAGCTTTCACTGTTTTTGTTCATAAAGTGTTCTGAGAGCTCCCTCCACAAGAACGACGGCCATTAAATCACTGCTGCACATCCAGCATCTTCTAAGCAGTTTCTCTGGCAATGGGAGTACTACAACCATTCCCTGCTGAGTTCAGGAAGAGGTTTATATGCCTTTATAGACATTTAAGTCTAGTAACAAAAACATCCAGGCCCCCCAAAATACATCTTGCACATCTAGAGAAACTACAAAAGGGAGAAGATACAACTATCCCTGAATCAAGCTCCCATCTCTCAGTTTCAATAAAACAACTGCCTCACTGCCTCATTCTTCCTCTTAAACTCATCTCTTCCAAGCAAGAAAAAAAAAATAAACCTGCAGCAAGGCAAAAATATTAACATACAGCATCAGAAAGTGATTTTCCTATTAAGCACTGCTTCTACACATGATGAAAATGAAGAACACAATATCCTCAGTCAGAGGTAGTTTGCCGAAGTCTTCCAAAGAACTGCCCACATAACTAATTTTCAGCACTTAAAGTCATAACTAAATACAAGGATTTGAACACAGAAATAAATTTTCCCATTAAACTGCAAAATAGTTTACAACTACACAATGTATTCTTAGATAGACGGCAGATGTTCTGACAAACCAATGTCTTTGTTTAATGCGCATTTTCAAATTTTTAATTGTCATTAGTTTGTTTAGTTGAGCCTTTCAATATTTAAAATATTCATTTTTTTAAAAAAAATTGTCATGGGACTAAGATTACTCACCCCTCTACACATTTATAAACTGTCTAGGTCATTTACGATCAAGCCAAATGCTGACACCAATTTTATAATTAATATACTTTGGTCATATTTATCTGCAAAATACCTCAGAAAGACACCACTAAAAAAAAAAAAAAAATCACCCAAAAAAGCAGAACATGTTAAGATGTATCTGAAAAGCACATATAAAGAAAATCTCAGTGACGTAAACCATTCTGTTTTCTTCTAAAATAAATCGCCAATATTTTGTTTGTCTTACATTTCTTACAACTGCAGAGATTCTCCCCTTTCTACCTCCCTGCCCAAGAGTGTGAGAGTTATCTTTGAATTGCCATTGAAACAGGTAGAGGTATGGTCTACAGCTTTTAATTTCTCCTATAATTATATACTATATATATATACATACTATAATTATTAGTAGCTATTTGTTGTTTAATTTCAAAAACGCCTTCCATTCTAAAGTACATGATACAATCATAGTTGATATAATTTCAAAACAACTACAGAAACATTAATGGGTTTATCCTTGTGCTTTCCTTTCTAGATATTTGTAACAACTTATGTCTTGCAGGAAATTAAGCATTTTTCTAGTCAGCTTTCAGGAAAAAACATCAGTCGAGTAAGCAGATAAAGTACTTTAACATGAGCATATTTTATGTAAAAAGGAAAAATTGAATGCTATTAAAAGTTTGCAACTGAAGACTGGTTCATAACTCCTATCTGAAGAAAACTTCCTCTACTGTCTTTTGCAATATATGTAATTTTCTTGTGCAGAAATAAACAAAAATCATGCAGTTTTAACAAAAGGCTGATCAATAAAGCATGAGACCACAAATGACAGACAACTACATTCAGGAACAAGTATGAGCTTACAAACAGCAGACAAAAATTCTGCACGTCAGCAGAAAATCAAGTCTCTTTATCAAAGATGTGAATTTGAAGTACTGATTCCAACAGATTTGCTGGTCTACTACAGTCATGCACTTCTTTGATACAAAAGGGCAGAAATTGGCAGATTCATACTTGCCATCGCAGATCTGGAATCAGAACTCAAATTTATTCTTAAATAGATTCTCCAGATTAAGTCAGTTTAAACTCTGACTTTTGATACTAAGCAATGCTTTCTTGAAAAAAAAAAAAAAGAAAAGAAAAAAAAAAGAAATTACAGATTTCAGAATGTCCCCAAAACTGACATTCTAAATCAATCATTCTAGTTCAATATATTTTTCCAAAATCAAGTCAGAATATAATTAACTGAACATATATAGAAAAGGGTTAAATAGTCTAGGATTACCTTCAGCTGATTATTGAAAATATCTATTTCCTGAAGTTTAGATCTGGTTTCTTTTTCTACTTCATCCAGCTGGTCTCGAAGCTGTTGACGTGCTAGTTCCTTAGCTTCCAAGGCTCTTTTGATAGTAAGAAGAGAATCTCCTGGTTTTAAACATATTGTCAAACAAATATTTTCTTACACGGAGAATTTTAGGTCATAGAAATCAACATTTTTCAATATGCATCTTGCAACACAAAAAATAAATTAAAGAGTACACTATGCAATGCAGCATGTCCTATACAAACTTAGACACGTACAAAAATATACTTACTGTGCAAACTGTTCTGTTGAACTTGCTTTAGTTGGTCATTAAGTAATTGCTTTTCTGGAATCAACCTTCCAAGCATCTGCTGAGATTCCTGAATAAAGGACAACATGGAGAGAGAAAACAAGAAGAGAAACAGACAAAAAGGTAAACGAGCTTTGCCATAATACCTCTCATTTTCATTTCTTCTGAAATTACTGTTTACTTTTTCTCTCACTAAATTATGTATTATTGCTATTATCCAAGCACTGTCTGTGTGGTACTACCACTTGTAGTTCTTTGCCAATGCAAAAAAGTGAACATATATTTAAGCATATTACTTGAGAATTTATTCCCATTGAATATGTAACTTGACTTGCAATCACTTGAAATTCAGGGCTAAAAGACAAGGACAGACTTCGGGAAATGTTAAAACAAGCACTTACTAACAGTATAATTCGAATTTTAACAAATGCATATTAACTGTGATCAGGAATAGGAAGACAAATACAGTTTACTTAAAGAACAGAAAATAAAGGCTTTCACTTTAAAGGAATAAACCACAAACAAAAGATATGCAACACAAACTCCGTCAGATGACAATATATGAGTTCTAGATCTCTTGATCTAGCACTCTTGAAAGTGGATTCCGGTCTCTTTCAATTTCAACACACAGTCATAAGATTGTATACCAATATATTACAGGAGATCCTGCAGATGAGAAATTCCTTCTCTTTGGTGGATCATATATATATCATATATAATCCTTGCTCTTTCTGGAGGACGAAGTACTACTTCAAAATTTTCAGAAGCCTTGACCTCCAATGTCAAGTTGTCGAAACAAATTACACAAAGCAGGATGTGAAACAGCTTATTTTATAAAAGCTGTCTGAGTGTCAACATCCCATCTTTCAGACAAACCAAGCAATTTATTTCAGCAGTTGTCTTGAATTGCAGACTTTTGACAATTTCAATTTGTCATGAAGGACTGCAAATGACATAACACAATCCTAAGAATAAATGCCATCTAAGTGCTTAATACCAGAGTGAGTCCCATGAAAAGTTTTTAGTTTCTGTTACAAGAACACCAGCTTGACTGTACTGACATGACTTCACAGCTGTTCCACTTTACTCATGGCAGACTTTGATTGGGCTTCTGCAGTGTACAGCTCAGATCTCATGATTTTGCCATGACTACAGAGTACTGTAATCTCTTTATGTTCCAGAAAACATACTTAGCACAAGAGAGTCAAGGACTTTCTATATTCACAAAGTATCAAAATTAAGATAAACTATGCGTCTGACTAGTAGGAGTTAAATGTGCCCTCACTATTCAGCTGCATTGCTTATAGCATCAGCAGATCTTTTTCAGCCCTTCAAGGATAACGTGAACGCCAGATATTCCTATCATGGGACTATTATTCCTTACCTAGGACCAAATGAGAAACAGCAATATATAACACATCATTCTCCAAATCATCCGCCTAAGGGTGTCTCCCTCCTTCCCAACAACCACCATTACCGGGTTCTTAAACTACGTGCAAAACACTGTGTTCACACTTTACCTTCCACCACACCCTCCCATCCAAATACCTGCATGCCTCCTGCCATAGTTCAGGATTAAAAATTTAAACAATATTATTAAATTAGCATAGCACATGGGCATTGTGGAAATTAAGTTCTCAAGTACCATAAATCCAAAAAAGTAGCATCTAGTAGACTAAAGGTATTGATGGATAAACCTCAAGAGAAAGAGGAAAGGAAATCACCTTCCAAGGGACCAGGATACCAAAATTCTGTCATACCAACTGAAGAACCATTTAAACAAGACAAATAACAGAATAAATGTCAAAATGAGTCAGCATTTCCAGAAAAAATTATCATTCTTCAAGCACAAAATGTAACATAGGATGCTATTTCAGGGTGGAATGTAATCCTACCCTTAGTTCTTTATTTTTAAAGGGCAGATTACTTCTAGGATCACAATTGTGATAAATCCCTCAAGCGACACTAACGGAAATTAGTGGCAGAGATCCACGTACACCTGAGAGAAGACAATACCACAAAGCCACAGCTATTGCTGTCAACCTAAAACAAAACAAAACAAAGTAAAAAAAAAAAAACACCAAAAAACTCACAAACTAAAAAAACCCACCACAAACCATCTCAAAACTAAAAATCCAACAAAACAACTACCAAGGAAGGCAAATATGATCTTCATTACAGAAATGCTTTCATTGAAAATTAAGTAATTTAGAAAGTGAATGGGCATTAACTAAGCTGCTGGATACATACCATCTAGTAACAATTACAATGACCAGAGACAGTTAAAAATCACTGCAAATGCAGCAGTGATTTCAAAACAAGTGCAAATTGTAGACAACTGTGCAAAATTAATTGTACTTTGCTAGATGTTTCCATAAAATTTCAGAGCGGTGTCAAAATCCTGAAAAAAAAAAAATCTACCTTTCGACCATTGTGACTGGGTAATAGGTAGCACAAACTAAATGTTAGGTGAAGAATCCTTCTGCACTCCTTAACTTTTCCTTTCCTGGTGATGTAGTTAAAACTGATGCATGAAAGTTGTAGGTAAGGTAAGTACATCTACAATTGATTAAAAATTCAAAAAATTGTTACTGAGTCTACAGAGAGAGTATAGATTACCTTTCTCACTACTTATTTCCCAACAGTGTTGGTTTCCCATTTTTTTCTTCCCTCTGAACTTTCCATTTATTACACCCAGCTGGCGAATCTCATTCCAAGTTCTTGATAACAATTATATTTTCTCATGTTTTTTAACAATATCTGTCACAGTGGGACTCTATCCCAACGGTACCACATTGGTCTTGACTATAATATAAATGGACTTACGGCTTTTTACTGTGATACATAATTTTTTCCTTCTTAATTTGTTATTGTTATGACAAAAGCAAAGAGATCATGACTACAGAGGCTAACTGAGCAAAAGTTACCAAGTTAACAGAAATTACATATGAAAGTGGGATATGATTCCATTAATTTTTTTGAAGTAGCATTTATCTATCAACAGCTATGTAGCTCCTCAGCTTCTTCTGAACTGAGCTACAGTGCCTTACACTATTTCCATGGAAAGCTTTTGGAACAGAAGGGTTAGAAGGAAATTCAGGTGTTGTTTCTTTTACATGGAGATTGGCTGTGCACCTAAAATCAGTAGTCCCTAACTTATTCAGACAAATGGGGGTTTCTTCATGTATTTTATGAAGCATAGTCAGCTTCTTGTCTCTTTGAGCCAGTACTGCTAAGTGTAACTTATTTCCTACACTTGCTTCGATGCTGTTTGACTTCATTCTCAGTTGCCAACAGAGGAGCATTTCATCAAAGAGAGGACTGATTTCAAGCCTAACTATGGCAGTTGTTTATGTCACAAGCTTCCATTAGAAGCATTTATTGTTTGCTATTGTTTGCATCAAATAGACACAAACACTGTGCAAGAATATGATCCCTAAATTATACTCTCTATAACAAGCTGCTGCCAAAAGAAAGATGCCTTGTGGAAGGTGTAATGGTGTACAGAAAACTTCAACAGAAATGTAAGATGTCTTAAGAACGAAGAAAAAAATAAAATCAAATAAATACTCAAGCATAGTACAATACCCCTGAACTTTCCAGTTCTGGTTTTGTTCTAATGAATGTATATTAATTATGCTTAAAAGTTTAAATGGAAAACTAGGATTAGGTTTTAAGAGAGGTTTTACACTTAAGCACTCATAATTGTGAGATCCATTTTGTAGTAGCATAAAAGCACTGGGAGCCCCATTACTAGCCAAGAATTAATTTCAAGCAATACAAAAATATTTAATAAAAGATGAAAAAACCCTCAATCAAATACTACAACTCATCTAAAAACCTTTACAAATTCCAAAGAACATTCTTTCACTCAAATCAGACATAGACTCAATCTCATCTTTAACAGAGAATTTTAGACAGAGAAGTAGGGAAGACAAATGCCAGGGTTAGACCAAGAACTAACTGGTTTAATTGGGAACTTCAATTTTGAAAGTTCATTATTGTATAATTTTAAAAACATCATCAACAAGCCACTTCACTGAAGTCGATTCTTTCTTTCAGCACACAAACAGCAATCATTGCCAACAAAAATACATGCCATGAAATTTAATTCTCCTCATCCCCAAAAATCCTTTAACATCTTCAGCCAAACAGTTTATTTACTGTTTCCCACAACAGGATTCCATGCAGACGAAGTGACAATCACAAACACACCTTCAAGTGTAGGAAGCAATTCCTAGACATATATGAAGAATATTCATTTATAAGAAATATAACTTATCTACAATAATCCCTCATGTACAAGCAACAACACATCACATATTGCGGCAAGTTTGCTTAGGACACTGATGCAGTTCAGGAGGTGAAAATGCAAGTCTAAGAACAAAATTAGAGAACATTTTCTCACCTGTAGCTGCTGTTGCAAATGGGTAATTTCTGCAATTCTCAGTTCTCTAGATTTATTTGTACTTTCAATCTCTTGTCTTTGGGTAGACAGCCGACATCTGATATCCTGAAGCTTTCCCTCCAACTGATTCTTTTTATCATTCTTTAGAAAAAAAAGCAAAAAAAAAAATTTTTTTTTACCAGAATGGTTTGTCATGCAAGTTGGGATCTAAAAAGTACTTTCATTACATATTTAAAAGTTGAAATGATAGAAAATAAACATGGGCATATCATACTTAGTACTGTGCTTGTGTGTTTTATCTGCAATGCAATGACTCACCAGAGCTTCCAGCTCAAATTCTAAGGTCTTCTTCTTTGCCTTCAGAACAACTATGTCCTCTTGTTCTTTGTTTCTTTGATTTAGTAGTTCTTGCCGACGATTACGCTCCCACTCAAGTTGCCGTTGCCTCTCAAGTTCCCGTTTTGCAGCCTGTAGCATTTAAAAAAAACCAAAGATATGAAAGATCTGGTTTTAGAAACCACTCTAATTGCTGATATTCATATTCTACTGTGCAATTAAAACATTAATATAAATACACTGCTGAACTGTGGACTAAATATGTGCCTCTATTTAAGTACACTAAAGCTCAATTGTTTAAATGCTCACTTGAAAGCACTGGTGAAATGGGGCTTCACTGTATAGCAGACAGGTGACTAAACAGAATATCACTCCATTTTAATGTTTCCCAAGATCCAATTTTCTGATTTAACAAGTTGATTCACATTAAGACCTCACAAACTCTCCAGTACAGCATCAAATCTCTTTCTGACCTCCAACACTAGACACTCTGCAGCTTTGCAAAGAATAATCAAATGCCACTGTACTGAATGCATCATTAATTTGCAATGTGAGAAAATAATAGTTAAGTTAACCAGTATGTGCTTGCTTTAACAAGTTATCACAGAAAAATTATGAATGCCACCAATGCCCATTAAGTTTTTCTTTATTCATTCTAGCACCTCCTTATATAGAAGAAAACAATAATTATAAAAGTCAGAGGTTAGGAGTACATTGCCCTAGGTCCACACGCCTCATCCATTCATTTCACATGAAAAATAAAGAAAGAGGTAGTTCTTTCCTTACCTTCAAAACCCCAGAAATTTAAGAAATTCTTTAAATGTTTACTTACTAAAAATGACAGCAAAATATTTAGAACAAAATACAATGTGTACGCTAATCAAACACAGCTGACAGTGACATAACCACCTTCCTTTTATCCAGTTGGTTACCTCTCTTCTTTCTATTTCTTTCCTCCTTTCCTCTTCTCTCTGTCGTTCCAATTCCCGTTGTTTTTCCAACTGCTTCTCTAGCTCCAATTGTCTTTTACGTTCTTGCTCCTGCCGTTCACGTTCTTTCCTTTCCTGTTCTGCCCGTTCCAGCTGTGCTAGACGCTCTTGTTCTTTGCGTTGTTGTTCCAGGAGAGCCTGCCTCCGTTTTTCAAGTTCTAGATTGCCACGTTCAAAGTTCTCACGCTTTTTATCTTCAAATGTAACTTTAATGTGTTGAAACAAGGGGCAAAGAAGAATTAAACTTTGCTACTGATTTTAAAAAAAATCCATGTATGCTGAATCAAAGTGAAATAACCTTCCAACAGTACTAAATGCAGCTCTCAACTGCTAATAACATAGCTCTACAGGTAATTCTAGGTTTTATCATTAGCATTTACATGGTAGACCTGCTTAAACCCATATCCTTAGGAAACAAAGGTGTGAATTTCAGTTCCCACTCCTCAGGCCTGTAGCTTTCTCCACAAAGACCAGCAAGTGGGTACAATTTAGACAATCCATTCACCATCTAGTCCTTTGTGTGGACGCAGGATCTGCAATTCCTCTATACATTTGATAACAGAAGTAGTACAAGAACCAGCACCTCAATTAGTACAAGTAAGGCAAAGAATTCAGCTGATATTACCAAAAAGCTACTATGCAAACAACCGGAATGTATTTAAACTTGATATTCTCATAAGATTACTCATTACTGTCAGGAAACGAAATGGCTTGCTCAAGTTCTTGAGCAGCTGAACTCAGGAAGACTGGATTTCTGCAGATTCACACACTCATCACTCACTGTCCTACAAGAATGACCTCAGTTCCATCACGGGTTTCCTGACATTCTTCTGCAATATCAGGGGTTGTCCTTCCCCAGTTCCATGTTCCTAATCCCCTCCCTCACAGTTTCTCCAAATAATTCTTTCTACGTCACCATGCTGTTTCTTTGCATACCCTCTATGTCCCATCACCATACCCCATATTGTATATTTCTCTCCCCGTATACGCAACATCTACATTTTTGGCATGCAAGTCAAGAGACAGTACATATTTATTTCAAAGTGTGCATGCACCAACTGTTTGACACATTGGTCTGACATCTGCTAAGCCAGTTTCCTACTGTCAATCACCAATTTTCATAAAGCTTGAAAAAAATTAACCACTTCAATGCTTGTCAAGTGTGTTTAAAATTAGCCACTGTGTTCACAGAATATTAAGGTACAGACTGATAGACAGGGAATGTGATTATAACCCCCACTGATTTAGGAAACCAAGCAAAAAGGAAGAGGGGGAAAAAAAAAAAAAAAAGCAATAGTTACATCAAGAAAGTCAGTTAAAAAGAATAGGTAGAACAACAAAACACTTGTAAGTAGCTTGGACATTAAAATATCGTGTTCAAGGCTCAGAAATCACATACCATTAAAAGGAAATACCAGGCTCTGGTTGTTGGACAGCTGTCCAACAAGCTAATACGGTCACTCAGCAAAATCAAGGTAGCTACCAGAAATAACAAAACAAAGTATATCCGAAGTATGAAAATAGAAGAGAACAACTTCTAGAAAATTACGTAAATAGCTATTGGCTTGTGTTACTATGCTTAATGGAAAGCTTCTAAAAGGTTATAAAAGACAACCACAAAAACTCTTTCAAAGAAAAAAAAACCAAAACAACACCTAGACAAATTTAGCAAAGCAATGAAGAAGCAAGACAACATTCACTATTTTAAGTGATCTTTATAAAGGAAAATCTACACATCAAATACAGTAAAAGGTTTATACACTCTAGTTCCTCTTGAACTAAAAACAGAAATGGCTTTAGAACAAAAATAAAACAAAAAAATGAAAAGTAACCGGTTGACAAACCCAGACAACGCTAGTTCAAATACAAAATTCATTAACTACTAGCTATGCTGTGCAATCGATCCTTTAGTCAACATCCATGCTGTAAGACTAGAAGATGGCAAGTGCAACACCAGTCTTTAAAAAAACATAGTATAATGATCCTGAAAGCTACAGGCAAGTCAGTCTACTCTCACACTGGGCAAAGTAACAGAGGCTACAACAGGCAGAGAATTAGTTAGCATACATGACTAAACACGATACCATGGAAGAACCAATGCAGGAAAGATTTGCTTCTCAAGTCTAATAGACTCAATTGTATCATAAGCAAGTTGAAAAAGAAGATGAGGTCAACAGAAGAATACTTGTGTGATTTTGAAGTCTAATGAAGAAACTAAGACAAGGCAGTGGTTGACCTTTCTGATGATACAAACTGCATATCAAAATCCTCTGATTCCAGAGACATGAGATTTTGGCCTCAGTCATATCTCACCTGTGACCAAGTATTTCATTGTGAGACTTCAATGAGGTCTGCTTCAGCAGTCCCTGCTATCTCCCTTCATCCTCCTACAGTCAGGAATTACCCAGCAAACTGCCAGCAGCAGTTAGTCATAAAATACAAAGCAAAGACCAGAGTTGTACCTGAATTGCTCACATACAGATCCCCTGAACTAACCTGGTATGGAAAGAGACAGAAGGTCCTTAGGAACTAAGAAACAGTTAAAAGATTAGAATTAAGGGGTGACATAAATTACCAACTTTCATATTGACAGAAAGAATCTCAGTAGCCTCCTTCAAAGATGCCTACCAGCAATTTTGCTGTTCAGTGTGCAAGAATGATTTGGAAGATGTTGAAAAGTAACAAGACAGCTTCTGGAGATGATGCCAGATAGTCACAGAATTAAAATAAAAACCTGACTGGGCAGAGCTTTATCTCACAAAACAGAGTGATCTAGCAATGAAGAAGCAGAAGAAATTAAAATGTTAATGAATACAAAGTAGTATACATGGGGAATAAAAATAATCCTAACTAAACCCACACAGTCATGAGCTCTAAAATAGTTAACAGATTTCTGGAAAGATATTGGCATTACTGTGGAAAGTCTTCTAAAACATTGACTCGGATCTAAGCCGTGATCAAAGAGGCAACACAGTGTTTAGGAATCAATTTTAAAAATTGAAAAATAATTCAAAGCAAAACAGAAAAGCATTATTATGGCACTGTATAAATCTGTCATGACATTCTGGTCATTGTAGAATAAAATAGAGCAAAAGTAAAGAAAGTAGAAAGAAGAGTGAGGGGATGATCAAAAGTGTTAAGATGTTTCCTAATATTTAGCTGTTTAGCATCTAGGAGGCTTTCTACCTTCCCCCCCCCCTCCCCCCCCTTTCTTTTTTCCTTCTTTTTTTTTTTTTTTTTAATTTTCCCAAAAGCAGAGTTGCAAAAGCTTGTAAAAAAGAAGAGCACACTGTACACAGACTTCAATGAAACAGGTCTCTGTACATATAATGTGATCTTTTAAAGAGTACATAAGCCAAACTACACTCCACTGAACTCAGAAGATGGAGGTAGTAAAAAGTTTTCATTGCAGTCCTACAATAGGGCTACAAAGTGCTGGCTCTGTTGAGAGTACATAAGATAAGCAGCCTGAAAGTCATTCATAATCTCCATTGTCACTAACAAAAAGGATCATGCAACAGTCTGGAATTAGCTGGACCTAGCTATGTCTTGGTTATGCCTCTGACATGTTACAAACTGATAGGAAAGAGAACAAGTTTTTATAACTCCACAGCATATAACCTGATGATAACACCTCTCTGGTAACAGCACACAATACCCCTCTGGTTTTGCTTGCTCACCTGGTAATTTCTTTTCCAGTTGCTGCTGTTCTTCTTCTAATGCTGGTTCTTCTGGTAACCTTTGGTCTGCAGATACTGAACTTACAGCAGATATGCCACTACCAGAGCGTACTCTTCTGTCAAGAAAATGATAACGCCAAGTTGCTTAAAAGAACCTATGCCTGCTAAATTTATTTATGATTTAATGATGAAATTATTAATTAAATGCAATGATATAATGTTTAATGATATTTAATGTTACCTCAGTGCTGCTCAGAGGATTTTACTCAGCTGTTGCCATTAAGATAACACTATCCTCCAGAGAACAAACGGCACATGCTGGGGACCTGAGAAACCTAGTTCAAAGTTCATAGCACTGTGCAACTTACAGAGGTGTTCAACCCTATCCCCGAGATCTCTTACTTGGGACCAGTCTGAAGTTGGGGAAATGCTGACTTGAACTATAGCAAAAGTTGCAAAGACAGAAGAAGACCTCTCTATAGTCAAGCTAAAAACAAGACCCCACATGGTACGAGCAAAAACAATTGTAATCTTCAGGAGGATACTTAAAGAACATGAAGCTATGATTGTATGCAAACATTTCTTTCCACTGCTGTTACTGTATTCCCACCCATTTCTCCACAAAAAAAGTGAAATAGAGAAACAGAAGTAATGACTCAACAGTACTATTCACAGATACAACTGTATCAAAAGACGCTTGAATTTGCCGCAGTGAAAATTCATGGCAGGTTTTGAATTCCATACGTCCCATTTGCTCTACAGAAGTATAAGCCTGAACTAAAAAACTTTAAACTCATATGGCCAGACTAAGTTTTGGAAGGTATGTGAGCATAAAACATTTACCAAAACTTTATTCTTACAAGGAATTCTTGCTACTTCCAGCATCCAGTAATTGGAAGAAAACCAAAAAGCTAGACAAGCATTTCCCAGAGACGTCACTTTCTGCTTATAGATACAGTACAAAAAGGAGGGCATTGCTTCTCAATCTATTGTCCTTTACACTCACAGGACAGTTTTCCCAAATGAAATAAAAATTTAGGAGCAATATTCCAAAACTATAACCAGTTACCTAAATGAAGGTGGAATATACTCTGGAGGCAGTACAGGTGGCAATGGCTGACCAGACATGGCTACATCAATTAAGTGCATAGCCAGAATAAACTCTTCAGCTGTAAGTTTTCCATCCTGATCGATATCTGAAAGAGTCCTTTTTAAAGCAAAAGTACAAAGTAAGTAAATTCCTAAAGATTAAAAATCACCCTTAAAAAACGTAGTTTTAACATACTCAGTTCCACATTAATTAAATTTTTCACCATTTTTTTCCCACACAACTTCATTTCTTTAAAACAAATAAAAAGCAAACCCCAAATGCTTCACTATTTCCCACAATTCTCATGCATGTCTGCCTTGAAACTATCCTTACAGCCATGGATCCTACTTCACTTCATCTATGAGCACTGCCTGAACCATATGCAACATAAGTAATGCTTTGAACACCTTGTGCACATCCACTACACAATATCATTTAGAAAAGAATCAGCTCAGATGTTGGTAGGACTTTTTTGGTTTGGTGTCCTCCTTCCCTGGAGGCCCCTATCTCACATTCGCACTAAAATCAAAGCCATTAACATTCTAGTCCTGACAAGCAGAAAAATATTTTAGCATATGCACATATTAAAAAATATGGAGTAACCTCTGGAAGGCCTAAAACCAAACCAGTGCTCTCCAACAGATGCACAAAATGCTTTTACATATGTTAAGGCAGTATCGGACACAATTTAACAGCCTAAACATCAGCTTTGTTTCTCTAGCATGCTGCACTCTATGCAGGAAAATCTCGCAAGACACTGTGAAAATCAAAGGTAAGCAACTGATACATTTGTTTGATGCCTCAAAGTACAGGATTTGATTTATGGGATTTAAATTTGGAACACAATTATAGACCCATTTGATCTATGCTTGTGTTATTGAGCTCCTCAGGCTAGGGCATAAGAACAAGTCAGTAAAATGAAAACCTGTCATGCAAGGATATAATTGATCAGCTATCCTAACAGTCTGGGTCCACATCTTTGTCACAGAAATACCAAAACAGCTGCTACAGAACAGCTGACGTGCTGCACATCAGTACTTCACTTTGTGTGTCTACAAGTCAGTGAATCCACCCCCAACACAGACCGACAAATCTTGCCCGAGAGAACAGCAACAGTGGTTCCACTGCCAGAGTAAGTATCAGGAAAGGGAGCAATACTTCAGAGAACAAAAGCTGTAAAACTCGTTATCTCAATAGACTTGGCAGCTTTGAATGTCAAAAATTAGGAGAGTTATGTTTAGAACTCTGGAGTAGGCTGATGTCACTCCCCTGCCCACACAACCTACTTAAGCGCTGGCAACAAGCAGAGTATTTTTTGGCTAATCATCTGTTAGATGATTGGGTTGATTTTTTTTGCCTCATAGCAGCTTTGTTAGGAAACAAAAGGAGAGAGTGCTTTTTAAGATATAACAAAAACATCATTGCTCAGCAAAGAAAGCAAGCACAACTGAACCACCACGTTAGAGGGACAACACAGCTGACATCCTCACGCACAAATCAGATGGGTTAGTGAGCTGACAACAGTTTTCAAGCAAAGACTTATAAAGTACAGTAGTTACTTAGAAATAACTTGCAGAGGGCAACTGGAAATTAAAAATATACAGAAGCAGCATGAAGGCCATTTGAGAAGTCACCAAAGAAAACCATAAATAAGCAATAAAGTAGAAATATTACGCAGTACATTGGAAAGCACAACCTTACAAAGTATGAGGGAGGAGACAACACTAATCCATGTGACAACAAGAACATAATAAATTCCAGCAAACAAGAAGTTTAAAGGAAAAAGAGAAGCCAAGACAAATCTTTTTAAAATCCATTATTTTAAGTATGGTCCTGAATTAGGCTTCCTTTTGTTCTACCTGTGCAAATGTGCAAGTTTCACTGGTGCTGTAACACACAGCTGGGGATTTGGAAGACACAGGAGGCTGAAACATAGGAGGTCTACCTAAAAAACCCCGTAACTGAAACCCAACTTATGAAACTTCTATGTGCATAGCATAAAAGATGCTCTTTTTTACTTTTGTGAAGTAATATTAATATAAGCATAGCAGCGCATGTTTTGTTTTATAAAGTCACACACTAAAAAGAGCAGCATATAATGATTTATCAGAGGAGGAAGACTGAAAAGAGAGAAAAACCCCACAGTATCCAGTATAGAGGTTTAAGTACAGTTTCCAGTTTGGTAGAAATTGATAGATTTATTTTTACCATATTGTAGCCAGCTGAGCCTGGGGTAAACTCGACTGCATAAGAATAGTTCTTGCTTGTGGACCTAACAAAGTGAAACAAGGAATAACAAGTAATTAAACAACTTTCTCCTCTTCTTGCATTACAAAGTAGATACTTCACAAGCAGAGCTTAGTTCTGAATAGGTAACACTGAAGAAATGTTATCAGCATGAACAGGCTATCCCTAAGGACCACCCATCCAAAGGAAAAGATTAAAAAAATACATAATCCTTCCCTTCTCCACAACAACCACTCACATTTAAAAAAAAAAAAAAAGTTATGAAAGGCAAAGATACGCTCCTACTAGCTTGTAAAACTAAGCCAGTGTACAATTCTAGTTTCTTTCTGAAATTGGATAGGCACCCTCATCAATGGATGAACTGAACACTGTAAATGGCTACAGCAGTTTTCACCCAGCCCATTCTACCCTTTCCAAGAATAATTTCCCAGTGCCAACTTACTTTGCAGAAAATAAAGGAAACATGGTGATAAAATGATCCCAGCTGTGATGAATATTTGCTCCTAAATAAGATTATTAAGCAGCTGGGAGATTTGAACAGAAAAATATTGATGGTGACAGCAGGGAGAGATGAGTCTCTTAATATCTGAATAGCATTCTAAATGCTTAGGCTAAAATTGTCCTTTTACAGTTAGAGAAAAGGAGACAACAAAAACTGCTTCAATACCTGTTAAGTGTCCACTCATTGTTTTATCATGGCTATTGAACAGCTGTCTGTACTTCAGTCTTGATGACTGAGGTACAGCCCATTCTGCCACAGGAGGCACACTAGAATCAGAAAAAGAACAAGGAGGGAGGGGGAGAATATAATTTTTAGTTTAATAACATGAAGCTAACAAGTAGAACAGGATGAAGTGCTACACAGAGATCAAGTTTCATGTCTGAAATGGTTCTTTTCACAAATATTGCCTTTTACTCCTGAAACCACAACAGCTTTGACTTCTTGTCTGAAAACATTTATCATAATTCAATGTCTTAGAAGGTGTTTTTTGGTAAAGTTGAATGACAGGCTTAAGAGTTTTGCTTTTTTCTTTACTAACAGAGGATTAAGTAACCTAAACAGTTTAGAGGAGCTAAAGCTTTTACCTAACCATATAACAGAAAATGCCTTACCACAGTCAGCAGAAGTGATAACTAACTTTACCCTGTCTTTAACTGGTTGTCTTAGCTAAATAATTCACAAGCTGATTAAGGAAAACATTTTAAATTTGTAGGTATAATTTACCATGCTTGAAGGCTGACAAGTCTTCATACTGACAAACAATGAGGACAGTTGTTCTGTCTTTAGGCACATTCAAATTTTGGTCTTTTTTTGTTAAGGTTGAGAAAAAAAAAAAAAAAAAAAGGAAGGCAGCCAGATTAAATAAGCATTTATAACAGCATACCAAATTACAGTACAAGAAGTTAACCAAAACCACCAAATCACTTTTCCCTGGTCCACTGAGCAGACACCATGGCAAGATCTTTCAAAGTTGAGCTGAGAATTATATGAACACTTTACCAACTGATCTCATACCCTATTTTCACATGGCAAGACCCAAAACAATTAATACCTCTATTTCTATTTTCTATTTCCAAACTATTGTGCTTTAATAATATTCTTTCATGGGAGCAAAGTAAAACCAAGCTGCATCTTAAATAATCAAAATAAGAACTGAAACTTAAAAAGCTGACTATTTAAGTTTTACGCAAGTGAATTCCTCCCTCACCAGTTTTGCTATATTTGGCATTTCCAGGCCTAAGTCTACTTTTGCTTACACATACATGTACCTTGATCTATGAAGTCAGGTTACTGTACATTAAGTAATGAAACTCTCCTTCACAGATATTCAAATGGTAGTTTTGGAAGAAAAAATGCTGGAGGACAAAACAGTTGACTCATGTACGCCAAGAGTTCACTACTGGTGACTTGGCAGTCAGAGTAATAAAAGCACTGCAAGTAGAATATTGAATTTCACCCTTCTCAAAATGAAAAATAATTCTCAGCAAGGAAAAAAACCCAAACCCTTCACCTTTACATTTCAGTTTAATGGTCTTAGATCTTCTTCCTCTCTTTCATAAACTCTGCCAATCAATTACTTTGCCACCTGTTTTCTCCAAAATAAAACTTGAAGACACACAACTGTTCATCACTCAGCATTAGCAGCAGTCTTTGAAGGAATACCCCCCTCAGTGCTGGCAGACATTTCAGAGTTACTGAAGTAACTGGGATTGAGCTAAGGACGCTCCAACTCTGGCCCAAACAGATTCGGAGAATCATGCAAATTCACCTCAGAAAAGAAGTCATCTCACCTTAGTTTCAGGCCTCTGTTGACAATAAAAGTGACCAGCAAGATTCAGATACAGTTAACCCCAAGACTATGACAGCCCTCTTACACAATATCTAGAAGCCATTTCAGCTGAAGTTTCTTGAACTTCATTCATTATAAATATTAAGTGTTGTTTTAGACAAAGCAGATAATTTCTTGTACTTCTGGAAATTATATCAGAGCATCACTACTATGTTCCTAATAGATTTCAAAGAGAAAAAGAACGGTTTGTTTTGAAAGACTTTTAGTCCTATTTGTCAGCAATCTCAGTGTTGCTTATCTAATACCAGGGCACAAGAAAAACCATCAGAAGAAAAATGAAAATAAAAGTAGATAATAAAATAATATCACAACCCATTTTCTTCTTGCAAAAAAATCTGTAGTATAGACCTGTGAGAAAGTTTTGATTTATAAAGACTTCGGGAAATTACTATCTTACCTCCTCTAAGGAAGTTTTATTTTGTTAGATGCATTTCTTCAGACCATAGTAAAACACATTTTGCCTAACCATACATTTTTCTGAGCGTTGAAACAATCTAAAAGCCTTTTAGGTGTTTTTTCATGCAGAAATTGAAGAATATATAAGAAACAGCTCTGTGGAGTGCATTTAAAATACGAAAACTATTAATTATATTGCTTTTAAAAATAATCCTAGAGTTAGCTAATTTTAAAGTCTATTACTTGTTATGTTTTCACACTAACAGGAGGAGTGCCTGTGCAGCACTACACAATGCAGATTGTTTACAGAAGCAAATGTTTTCAAAAAATTAAGTTTTCAAGAGTTTGAAAATAGTGTCAACACATACTGTAATAGTTAATTATCATACTTCAATGATTCACTACTCATGAAGCATTCCTTGTAAAACCACAACATTGTATCAA